GGGGTCACAGGGACACACTGACTGCCAGCGGGGGGGGTCACAGGGACACACTGACTGCCAACAGGGGGGTCACAGGGACACACTGACTGCCAGCGGGGGGTCACGGGGGTCACGCTGACTGCCAGAGGGGTGGGTCACGCTGACTGCCAGAGGGGGAGGGTCACGAGGAACAAACACACTGACTGCTATGATCCTGTGTGTCTGGGAGCAGGTATGAAACAGACCTGGGGAGACCAAGGGACAGAATGACATTCACATGGTGCAGAGAAGCAGAATGACACGGGCAGCACTCCAGGATCCAGAAGATAAATTTATTTCTGTATACACCACCTCATAAAGTGCAACGTTTCGTCTCAACCAAGCCTTAATCATGCTTAATGGATACAACATGATAAAGTGCTTAAATAACCCCCACCCCAATTAAACTAATAAAATGCATCACACGTTAGTTAAACATATCCATAGAGAAAACTCTAAAACATGACAAGGAGTCTAATAGGAAACCTCGATAGTACTAATTAATATTAAAGTTATAGTAACCTACTACATCGTAAAGGTATAGAGCAGAATATGAATCTGTAGAACATAAGAAAAAAGAAAAATGGTGAATAAACATCCTTAATTATATAAGTCCATGAAACATCAGAGGCAAGAAATGGATCAAAAGAGCACTCTGTTGGAAATTCCCTAAATAAAAAAATGAATCAGCCTAGAATTAACCATTTAGTTGACATTCCATAAGCTCACGGACTAACCAATCATCGATGAATATAAACTAATAGTTAAAGTGTCTTTGCAAATACGTAAGTATAAAATGACAATATATTAAAAACCTAGTCACCGTATAAAAAATGAGAATGTATATAATAAAGGTGAAATAAGACGTTCCTCATATGTAACCTGTGACGAGAGCAATCTCGCCACATTGCATTGGAGGAGCCTGGTTGCCCGCCTGCTCCCTTTAGACTATGGCCCCATGTTGAGCAGCGCTGTAAAAGAAAGAAAAGAATCACATTAATAATGAATACATATGAGATTACAATAAACATAGGGTAAGAGAAAATTCCCTTGAACTAATGTGTTCCTAATAGTCTGCAGTCTTTTGTACGAGAATAGGGGAGTTCCCTGGAATTCCGGGAAACTTTGCACTTTATGAGGTGGAGTATCCAGAAATAAATGTACCTTCTTGATCCTGTAGTGTTGCCTGTGTCCTCCTGCTTCTGTGAGTCTTCTGGTGGATTCAGCGTTGTCCACCCTTAGCAAGGAGCACCTCCACGACAGAGGGCCAGAAATTTCAGGCGGAACCTGTGTGCAGGGATTCTTGTTTTTGTTGTATTAAATCACATGGTGCAGGGTCCCTTGGAAAGACACTGTGCCATGATCCTGTGTGTCAGGGCTCTGGGTGGAGGTAAGAACCGACCTGGGGAGACCAAAGGGGAGAATGATATTCACATGGTGCAGGTCCCAGGTAACACACTGACTGCCATGATCCTGTGTGTCAGTTATTCACTAAACTGTGAGTTTAAATGGAATTTCACATTTAAAGTCAAACTGGTAACATTCTCTAAGTCAGCTTTCAGTGTAGCTGCTCTGACCTTAAAGGGACACTATAGTCACCAGAACAACTACAGCTTATTGAATTTGTTCTGGTGAGTAGAATCTTTCCCTTCAGGTTTTTTGCTGTAAACACTGTCTTTTCAGAGAAAATGCAGTGTTTACATTACAGCCTAGGGATAACTTCACTGGCCACTCCTCAGATGGCTGTTAGAGATCCTTCCTAGGTCATCATGGCTGCCTAAAATGCATCCAAACATTCAGTGTCTCCTCCCTCTGCATGCAGACACTGAACCTTCCTCTTAGAGATATATTGATTCAATTCATCTCTATGTGAAGATGCTGATTGGCCAGGGCTGTGTTTGACTTGTGTTGGCTCTGTCCCCTTCAGTCTCAGCCAATCCTATGGGGAAGTATTGTGATTGGTTTAGAACAACACTTCTGATGATGTCAGCAGGCAGCTTGCAGATCTGAGGCAGACAGGTGTTCAGGCTTGAATACAAGTAAGATTTTCTATCTTTAGGGAGGCAACAGAAGGCCAGTGGGGCTAGCTGGTGGTTTTTAACACTATAGGGTCAGAAATATGTCTGTGTTCCTGACCTTATAGTGCTCCTTTAAATTTAAATGTCACATCAGATTCTCACATTGTGTAACCACTCTGTATTCCTTCAAGCTATTCTGACATCATCAGTATGTATATATGTGAAATTATTACCCCATTATCATTTATCATTATTATTTAATATAAGAAATAGGCAATTTATCATTTTATTTATTATGCCTTAATGCATTAGAATGATAATACCATAAAAGTTCCCTTCCTAAAGCTCGTGCTTACCAAACAGTAAATTGGCTAAAATGTATCAGCGGATGCTCATACTCCTTATTACTTCCAAAAGGAGCTTTAAGCCAATCCCACAGACTGCCGACCCATTCAGGTTCCGAATATGTAGTTCTGCTTTTAAGAGCAATTACGCTCCCACTCCCACATTACGCCCCACGGTAAAATGTCAAACCGCCTTGATACGATTTGACAACATACCGAGAGAAGTCAGTCGACAATTTTAGTGATTCAGTTCCTGCATCAGTTTATTTTGTTCTAAAACAAAATCCTCATTCTGCTGGATAGGTCAGATATTGTTCAGGACTCCGGCAAGTTGTCAAATCATTCTAAAACAATTTGACAGACTACTCTGGAAGGACGCCAGGGCACCCTTGGCACTATAACCACTATCTATAATTGTAAAGCTCTGTGGAATATGTTAGTGCAATATAAATATAATAACATACCTCATTTTATACTCTAAAATTCAAGCTAAATCAAACTTCTATCAAGGGTATTTAACCTGTCTCAAAATGCAAATAGGTTAGGGAATATATTACAAATCAAATTATTATTTATTTATTTTTTAACAGTTGCCCTGTCTAGGCCTTCTCTCCAATGCATGGGTTTGCATAATCGGACACTGCAACATAGGTAAATATGGAGTGTTACTATGTAATTTTCTTTCTTTCTTTTTTTTTTTTTTATTGTTCATTAAAAAAGTACTTAGAGTTGGTTCTCGGACCAGTATATTGCATTAATCATGTTTCAAAAAGGTTAAAATGTGAATATGAATTCTACTTGACCAACACACTAAGGTACATCAATGTGGCCCTATTGTCCAAAGCATTTGTTTTATATATGGCCTTTTATGTGACTCTACATATGCTTAATTGTTTCTTGCAGTTCTCTTCCTAAGACATCTTTATCTGAACCCCCTTGGCCAGAAACCAAGCTTCCAGACCCCATTGAAGAAGCAGAACAGCACAAAGGTTGGTTTTTAAATTTCTTACAGTCTCCTGCTGGAGTTACCAAATTTGCAATCTGTTAATGTAAAGGGATCGCTTAACCTATCATGCTTGGTAAAATGTATGCTCTATACATTTGTGTACTCCAGCTGAATACATCCGTGAAGAATCTCCCAAGTGCCGTAGTGATTATAAGTGTGAATATAGCTCCCAATCCCCCAAACTTGAGCCTAGACTTCATGAAGGGGTAAGATGATCTGTTTAATCCAGGCTCAATGGCCCGCTTTTATGCAGTACAAGGACACAGAAAACACGCCCATGACACTTCCACACAAAACAGGGTAATCCCTCCCCGTGCCTGGGAGATAATATATGACTTGGAAATCCCGAACCCCTGAATCAATCTGGGTTTTTTTTTTGGGGGGGGGGGTTTTTTTTTTTTTGGATATGTTGGGCCCACAGATCGGGGCTATCATGGTATGTGACTTTTGTGGGGTTTCCATGTGTTTTGGGGGTACTTTTGGGTTATTGTAAAATGTGTTTTCTGTGCCTAGAGATAATTGAGTTTAGTACAGTTTCTGACTCAGTTATCTGACAGGCACAGGGGAGGGATTATCCTGTTTTGTGTGGGAGTGTTCTGGACCTGGAGTGGGGAATGCCCCTGGAATATGTTATGGAAAACTCCTTGCATGGGGACTTGCATTTAAGGCCAGTTGTGGCTGCCATTAAACAGTTCTCCTTCACCCTCAACATAGAGCCTAGTGTCATTCTTGGAGGGAACAACTATATTAACTCTGGGGATTGCTATAATCACTATACCTCCATGGATTATTATCACTAGCTCTTGTAAGAGCTATACTTTCTGGAGTAGGAGAGGTCTACCCATTGGAAGCTGGATCCCGGTCTTGGATCCAGGGTGGGTGGAGGACAGCGAGACCCCAACCAAGCTGTCATGCTGGCTGCGCGGATGCCGGTGGTTATGTAGTCTGGTGAAGTGCTTAGAAGTACTGGGTGATACTAGGAAGCATCGATTGGCGGAGGCACCCAGTTGGGGTTCCAGGCGGTCCGTCACAACATTGTGCTAGCAAACGTATAGGTTGGGAGAAAAGAAATGCTTCAAAATGGGTATTTCTCCATCCTGTCTGTGAGTTTTTTTCAGCATAGTCTCTGTGCTGAAGAATCAAGTGACAAGGAGAGTAGCCGAGTACTCCCACAGGTGGTCCTTCTGCTCTACAAGCACAGCTCATGCACACATCCCCATGGAAGCATCCCAAGCAGGGCAATTCAAAGAAGAGAGTGGGCGAAGTGCAGCCAGGCCACTGTAGTGAAGGAAGGTGTTACAGAAGAATTACATCCATGAAAGTGAGACAGTGGGCACTGGATCAGAGGTTCATTAATATCTAAAACTTCTACATTTAATTCATCATGTATCTCTGTGATTTATGGGGGATTTATATTAACATTAGAACTTGTCAGGTGTGATAACTTCCCCTGTCCCTGATTAGAGTACTGCTCCCCCACATTTGTAATAAAAATAAAATAATGGTTTTACTAACCTTTTTCTAGCGCCCAGACTCCCTTGACTTCTTGGCTCTCCACCTCCCACAACATCATTGAGGAGTCATGGCCTCCTCCAGCGATGGTCCAGTCCATCCAATCTTCATAGAGGAGCATTGGGGACCCGATGCACATGCACGACTGGTCCTGCGTGCTCATCTGATGCTTCTCATGGAAAAACACTGAATCAATGCTTTCCCATGAACTACTGTGTTACATGCAATGGAAACTCCTCTGGAATACGGGCACTAGTGGTATGTTTAACCCTGCAATGTAAGCATTGATGTTTCTACAAAACTGCAATGTGTTACATTGCAGGGTTCAAAATGACAAGATCACTGCGCCCAGATCACTTCATTGGAATAAAGTGGTCTGGGTGCTTACAGTGTCCCTTTTAATGTGCATGTTGGATGAAAAAAAACAGCTGACTATGTTTTCACTATCTGTTTTAAACATAATGCAACCAGGAAGCATGTGTAGTATGCCAAATTATGCATTGCTCCTCCTCCCCAAAAAAAAATAAATCTGCAGTGATTGTTCATTTTCTGTCAATTTATTTTATACAATATGTGTAATTCTGACTTTGACCCAAGACAGAGTGATCATGTAACTTTTGCTTGAAGGAACACCTCCCTTTACAAAACAACTACATCTCAGTAATGTTGCTTTGGGGTTTAGAGTCTCTGGGTGATGTCTTATCTTAGTGGGACACTCCATACCCCTAACGAACTTTAGCTTGCCTTGCTGAAATGCTTTATGTGTGAAGAATGTGTCCTTTTTTTTATTTTTTTTTTATTTACTTCTTGGTTTGGTTATCTCAGTGAAGACATACTCAGAAAATGGCAATTGCCCAGAGCAACTGCCTTGCATGTACTTTTAATTGAGCTGCATTGGGAAGTCTGCGATTGGACAGCCACAGAAAGTATGGGCGGGGTTAGAAGGGGAGGGCTTGCAAAGGCTGCAGCCAAGAAAACTGCAGCTTTTGCATTCTGTTTTAGATATACTCTGAATGAACAAAAATAAAAATACATTATAAAATGCATGTTTTCACATATCTACTTGGGTAGTGGAGTGTCCCTTAAAAGTGTTAAACAGTTGGGTCCCCAGGGGTCCCCTCTCCTCTGCTCGGATGTCATACAAAAGAGTACTTGTTGACTTGTGTGCTAGTGATTATCTATGAACATCAGCTGATGCCCTCAGCCTATCCCTGCCAGCCAAGTACAGTGTGTACAGTTACTCTCAATCGGTAGCCAGTCACTAGTGCAGCTGGTCCGCAAAGCTTCTCATCGATTGGGAAAGAAAGGTTTGCAGTAGCTGCTGATAATAAATCTGCAACTCTTGCAAGCTAATATTTCATATATTCCCAAAGAAAACATGCAGAAAGAATTACAAGCATGATTTCTTTGGAGTTATCTCTGCTAATATAAAGAAGTGTTTTCCTTAAACCAAATTGGGAAATGAATAATGGATTTTACCTGCTTATATAAATGTGTGTGTGTGTATATATATATTTCTTTTCTAATAGAACTTTTGAAGAAAATAAACAATCTAATAGCCACAGGACAATGTGGTAGACTTTTTGCCGTGATATATTTTTCGAACAGACAATGGAAAGTAACCAACGAGGACCTGATTTCACTAGACTGCGCGGTAGAAGCCCAATGTGGTGACCGAATCCGCTTAGAAAAGGTGAGGATTTCGCTACCTACCTGAATGAAACCTTGATATCAAATAGCTGATTGGTTCTACTTCATTCACCTTCCACAAAACGAGTGGACCGCAAAGTAGACGTTTAACCTATTCTTTATTTTATGGAGATTCTAATCAAGTCATGTTTACATTATCTTCTTCCTCCAATATTTTAGGGCAGCAGAGTGGTTATAGTGTCTAGAGTCCCCTGGCACCATCCATTTAGTAATTCACCATTAAACAGTTTTTATTGGTTTAAGGCTAGATGACCGTCTTTAGCAGCCTTCTCCCTCTGTGCTGCTTGGGCTAATGAGGAAGCACTAGCATGAGCAGCAGCGGGTGGTTGTGATTGGCTGAAGGTGACTACTACAGATTGTTGGTGTCAGTTGATAGGTGAGTGTTCTCTTTGCCATACTTACAGTGGCTGTCAGGCTCTAGGTGGCCAGGGACCCTTTTTATTGTTAAACTGATTGAAAATGTTTAACACTGAATGGAAGGACAACAGGGACTATAACCACTTCGCTGGGATGAAAGAGCTATATTGTACCTTTTAATGTTTCTTTCTTCTGATGTCTTATGTGTGTGCCGCTCGGTGTCTATGGAGCTATTGCACACAGTGATCAGCACTGCTGTTTGGTATATGTATTCATGCAATTTAAGCAGGTCAGCGGTTTTAAACAAAATAAGACACTGGGGGGTTGCCGGCTAAGGGCTATTCTTCCTGACATCACCCCATTCCTATGTTGATAGTAGAGAAAAGAAAACAAGTAACATAAATGTAAAAAATTTAATAATTTTCTGCCATAGCCCAGCAACCGAAATGGTAGGCAGCTCCTCACAAACTGAAATAGCTCTGTACGTAGTGAGCATAATACTGCACTGAAAACCTTCTGCCTATTGATTCAGCTGGTGCATGGCGCCCCCTTTGGGCATCACCACTCAAACACAAGAAAAAAATAACAGGACCTTGCTAATATAGCACCCTGGGAATTTCGCACTATACTGTTACAGCACATGGGGCTTATTAGCCACAGAGGCGTCTAATGTTGAAGCCCCTATAATGAAATAAACATGTGTTTTTATAGAGGGCACAGGGTCAGCATCTGTGGACCTCCTGCAGATTATGGAGCACAGATACCTCTTTTTCCCTAAGTTAAAGATGGTCCTGACTTATATGTCTGTCTGCTTCTTTCTAGACAGCTCAATCAGTGTGTTCTAAAATAGAAGGGGTGGGGGGCAGAATAAACCATAAATGAAAAGACACCATGAATAATATAAGGCACATTCTTCAAGGAAACGTTAAAGTGATACTATAGTGCTAGGAATACAAAGTTGTTGTATTCCCCCCGCACTGTAAGAGTTAATAAACCCTCATTGTACTTACCCGATTCCAGCACCGCTCTCCCTAGGTGCTCTGCCTCCTCTGACTTCACCTTACTTCATTGCTGCAATGCTTTCCTACGAGGATTTTAATCACGCTGGATGTCCTCATGCAAAGTGTGAGGATGTCCAGCATCGGATGACCAAAAGTCACCTAAAAAGCTGATTGACAGTCACTGGCAGGGTTATAACATTCAGGCAATTACATTCTTCTTCTAGAACAATTTCAAAATGTGTAGATTGTTTGTGTTGTGATGGGCTAAGCAGTATAATTTATATTTAAAATGATTCATGTGCTCCTTATTGGATTAACCTTCAAGATGCCAGATAGGTAAACAATGATTTCAATCATCCCATGAAATACCAATCAGAACAGCTAGACATCTGTTACAAAGAACTTTCTATTGTTAATTCCTGTGAAAATATCTCTGCTTGGTAGAATGTCCGAGTACACGGAACGTAGTTATATATAGCTGCTTATCTGGAAGCTTGGGAGAGCAATTTTCCATTCTTGACTTTGTGTGGTGTTACAATAACCTCCTGCTTCTTGTACGTTTTTCAGGGCAAGTGTGAAGGGAAAGTGTCCCCCCACCCCCTCACCCTGTTAAAATTAATTCTCCAGTCCAATCCCTTTGCAGAATCTCAAGTTCTTTTGAGAAATGCAAGTTGACAGGTGACGAGGAGGAAGGGAACATGGCTTAAACGTTTAACCCCACTTTTGTCTGTAGGTATCAGCGTTATGGCTCCTGTGAGGCCTATGGCACAGTGACATGGACGAATTGTCCACTTATTATATCTGAATTGTAAACACCAATGGCTAGTTGGCAAGTGTTAATTATGAGCCCTGTGTATATGTATTATATCTGTCATAGTTTGCCTGGGATTAGTGGGAGTTACACTCCTGGGGAGCAGTTATCACCAGTTTAATTCAGCTCATTCCTGAGTTTATATAGTGGCAGAAAATAAACGGTCTTGTACAGGGGCGGACTGAGAACCCTCAGGGCCCCCGGGCAAAATAAATCAAGGGCCCCCTTACAGGCCCCACCCATACTCTGCAGCAAGCGCTACCCTTGTCCCGCCTCCAGCCACACCCTACACAATCTTTAGACACAAGGAACAAAAGTGCAATAAGCCCTTCGAGGCCCAAGTAGACTACAATTGAGGGCTAATAGGCTTGGAAGGGGGTCTTTCTAACAGAGGCCATCTCAGCGTCCATTAGATAGCCCCTGCTGGAAACAGTCGCCTCCAGGCCCCAGTAGAGACTACAATTGAGGGCTAATGGGCCATGGAGGGGATTTCTAGCAGAGGCTATCTCAGTGTCCTTTAGAGAGTGTGTTATAAAGAATCTCCTCCAGGCCCCATTAGAGACTACAATGGAGTCTAATGGGGCCTGGAAGGTGGTCTCTCCAACACTCTGGTTCCTATTCACAATATAGCAACACAACATAGCTCGCTGATATCTAGGCCAAGTTGGCTCCTCTTACCTTAATTACTGTTGCTGGCTGGCAGTCTGTGGGCTTGCTGGCTGCGGCTGGCAGGCTGTGGGCTTGCTGGCTGCGGCTGGCAGGCTGTGGGCTTGCTGGCTGCTGCCGGCAGGCTGTGGGCTTGCTGGCTACTGCCGGCAGGCTGTGGGCTTGCTGGCTACTGCCGGCAGGCTGTGGGCTTGCTGGCTACTGCCGGCAGGCTGTGGGCTTGCTGTCTGCGGCTGGCAGGCTGCGGCTTGCTGGCTACTGCCGGCAGGCTGTGGGCTTGCTGTCTGCGGCTGGCAGGCTGCGGCTTGCTGCCTGCGGCTGGCAGGCTGCGGCTTGCTGCCTGCGGCTGGCAGGCTGCAGCTTGCTGGCTGCGACTGGCAGGCTGTGGGCTTGCTGGCTGTAAGCCTGTGGCTTGCTGTAGGCCTGTATGCTGGCTACTGGCCTGTGGGCTGGCTAACTGGCTGGCTGGCCGGCCTGTGGGTTGGCTGGCTGGCCGGCCTGTGGGCTGGCTGGCTACTGGGGCACTTGTAGATTATTTAAAGAAATAATCCATGCACAATAACCACTACTGCTCCAGAGTAAGTAGTCAAACCGTTTAAGAACAGTTTGACAACTTACCTGGGGTCTGCTGGGATATGGGGCTGTAGTAGGGAATAGGAGCAGTGGTGCAATGTGTGTGAAAGGTTCAGTGTGTGTGTGGGGTGTAGTGTGTGAATGTGTAGGGTGTGTGGGCTGTGTACGTGTGTGGCAATGTTAGTATGGGGGGCTGTGTATGGGGGTCTATGTGTATATGGGTGGGCAGTGTGTGTGAGGCAATGTGTGTAAATGTGTATGGTGTGTATGGGGGCAGTGTGTGAATTTGTATGGTGTGTGTGGGGGCAGTGTGTTTATGGGGCTAGAGTTCACTCTCACCACTGCGACCACCAGGAATCCCTGGGGGTCACAGTGTTGAGAGTGAACTCAAGCCCGTAGCTCCAGGGCTAGAGTTGACTCTTGCAAGAGCGGTAACGTTGCCATGGTAACCGCGGCAACGCTCTGTGCTCGCGCAAGAAGGAGCCAGAGGAGCTGCAGGGTGAGCTCCCAGGTCCTCTCTTCCTCCCTCCCCTGCCCGCACGGTGCCTGCGGACAGGGTGGGGGGGGGGGAATTGCCCCGTTGCCCCCCTGGATCCACCAGTGATATATACAGCCCTTCTGTGTGCCTTTTTGTCTCCACCCATCCCTCTGTATGTTTCTTTCTCCCCCCTCCTTCCCAGTCTCTCTTACCCCTCTGCCTCTTTCTCCCTCTCTTCCACTGTTTTTCTCCCCCCTTTGCCTGTCTCTCTCTCCCCCACATCTCTCTTCCTCTTTGTCTCTTTCTCCCCACTCCCCATCTTTCTCCCCCTGTGTCTCATTCTTCCTCTTTGTCTCTTTCTCCCCACTCCCCATCTTTCTCCCCCTGTGTCTCATTCTTCCCTCTCTTTCTCCCCCTCCCCCAACTCTCTATTCCCCCTCTTTCTCCCCCTGTGTCTCATTCTTCCCTCTCTGTCTCCCCATCTCTCTATTCCCCGTGTCTCATTCTTCCCTCTCTGTCTCTTTCTCCCCCTCCCCATCTCTCTATTCCCCCTCTTTCTCCCCGTGTCTCATTCTTCCCTCTCTGTCTCTGTCTCCCCCTGTGTCTCATTCTTCCCTCTCTTTCTCCCCCCTCCCCATCTCTCTATTCCCCCTCTTTCTCCCCGTGTCTCATTCTTCCCTCTTGTCTCTGTTCTGTGTCTCATTCTTCCCTCTCTTTCTCCCCATCTCTTTATTGCCCCCCCTTTCTCCCCATCTGTTTATTGCCCCCTCTTTCTACCCCTCCCCATCTCTCTATTCCCCCTCTTTCTCCCCCCTCCCCATCTCTCTATTTCCCCTCTTTCTCCTCCCTCCCCATCTCTCTATTCCCCCTCTTTCTCCCCCTCTTTCTCCTCCCTCCCATCCTCTCTGTTCCCCCCTCTTCCCCCCCCCTCCCCATCTCTCGCATTTACCCCTCTTTCTCCTCCCTCCCCATCCTCTCTGTTTCCCCTCTTCCCCCATCTCTCTGTTCCTCCCTCCCCATCTCTCTGTTTCCCCTCTTTCCCCATATCTCTGTTCCTCCCCTCCCCCATCTCTCTGTTTCCCCTCTTCCCCCCATATCTCTGTTTCCCTCTGCTTTCTCCTCCTCCCCACATCTCTCTATTGCCCCCCTCTTTCTCAGGTCTGGGGGCGGCCACTTCTTCGCGCTGGGCCGCCCGGTTGGGTGGCAGCCTCGCCGGTCCGGCGGCATTCCTCTCACTAACGCTGAAGGAGGAGGCGGAGCATGTCTCTCTGTCATGCTCCTTTGCGGTTCCCACATCCTGTGCTGGGAATTGTGGGAACCGCAGGGAGCATGACAGAGAGACATGCTCCGCCTCCTCCTTCAGCGTTAGTGAGAGGAATGCCGCCGGACCGGCGAGGCTGCCACCCGGTCCGGCGGCTCCAGCATGAAACGGCCGGCCCCCTCACAGTGTGCCACCGGACCGGCCACCCGGTGGCACCTTCCTCTGAAGTCCCCATATGCCGCCCCCAATCCAGCCCTGCCGCCGGGCCCCCCTCCCGGCCGGGCCCTCGGACCATGTCCGAAGTGCCCGACCGGTCAGTCCGCCCCTGGTCTTGTATTACCTTCTCACATCATACTTGCACCCTTTGTCTTTGAGACCTTTCTGCACATGTTGTATTGTTACTTCTCTGGTCAAGTTGTTTTTCTGCTGATTCGTGCAATGTTACAAAGTTATACTTAGAATAATAAAGTTCCATGGCCAAACAGCAATAACATGGAATACTGATTAACCTTTTCAGAAAGGAGTCTAGAACAGATTACTCTGTCTGGCCTTTTGGCTGTTAAATTGTTAAACTCTATTTTGTCTTATGTACAACAGAACAGATTTGTTTTTTCTTTCCATCTAAGTCTATAAATAAAACAACTCTCTTTATTTTTCTGGTTTGTTTGTTTTAAAGGTACTGCTTGTTGGCAGCGAGGATTTTACACTCATTGGAAAACCTCTGCTTGGGTAAGGAAATTCCTCTCCTCACACGATGATATGAGCATATGCAGACGTTGAAATAATGAGACTTTTCTGCTGCTTAATTTTAAGAATGCAAACAAATTCAGAAGCACCCCTATTGTGATCTCTTAAAAGGCCTTCTAATTGGGAATTATTCTGGGCAATGCACTGAAATGTCTAGCAGCCAGGTTTATGAAACATATCACAAAGAGGCATGTATATCCCTGAATGAGTGTGTTCTCTCCTTAATCTACTTGAAAATGGTTCTTTTAGTATACCTGTCTTGGTACACATAACTTAAGTCAGAGCATGCAATTTAATGTTTTGTACTGTGTTGTCATGCTTTCATAACTTCTAGCAAATGTTTCATATAAAAAAAAACAAAAAACCCCAACCTTTTAATCACCTGTCATTTAACGTTCTGTAAAAAAGTGCGGCCAAAAGAATAGCATCTGTGCTGAAGACTGATAGTAGCAGGAGAACCTTCATGCAGACCGCTGTCCTGCTCCCTTTCCCAGCAACTACAGCACATGTGCAGTAGTTGATGTGATTATTCTTCTGGTGATCATGTCGCACTCTTTGCCATAATATTGGACTAGAGTGAGTGAGTAAGATGTTAAACCATTTTAACACAGTTTGATAATTTGACTGGTTTTTGCCTGCCTCCCACAGCCACTGGTCCTCTCCATAGGACACAGCTGGACCATGCAGGCGCTGAGTGATCTCAGCCAATGAGCATGGTCATGCATCGGCTGTACTTTACCTTATGGAGGCATCCAAATTCTCCTGCTGGAGAGGACCAGGTTCAGTGCTGGCACCCGTTGAAACCAGATAAGTTATCAAACTATGCTAAAATGGTCCGACCTCTTACTGTGGGATGGCACAACTGCACTCCTGGCATGGTAAACAATGCAGCATGCTCTCATTGTTATATTTCTCATAGTTCATATATTGTGTTATTACTTATTTAACTAATATATATTTGTGAGGTATAAAAATAAAACTATCGAATTCCACACCTTATTGTCCAGCAAATGAACGCTTCCTTCTTAGCTCTCTGTCAGTGGTTGCTGTAATCTTTTATTTGTACGTGGCAGTCAGTATATAGGCAAAGCATCCGGAGGAGTGGAGAAATTAAACATTGTTCCTATTACTCCTCCTAATTTCCAGTATTTGTCCTGGCTTTGCCTTCTCTGAACCTGATTGTGATGTCGTTTTTTTAAACCTTCTTGTAAATTGTAAGAGAGAAGTGACAATTCCCCCATTGTGTTTGTGAGATATTGTTTTTTTGCTGTGATAAATGTAACAAGACTCTAACATTTGGCCTCAGGGGATTGTAGAGTAGGAGGAAAAGGAAAGTTTTCAATAGAAATCAAATTTCATAAAGAGAAAAACTTGGTGTATAGAATTGGTGTGCTACAAACATTACTAATGTTACAGAGCTGCAGTTCCCGTGATGCTTTGAAATCCTTGAATTTGGTAAAGCATATGAGTTGTAGTTGTACATCAGTTAGGAATCTTACTGATATACCACCCATGATATAGAATAAAGAGTATTCTCCAAATAATTATCATGGAGTATACTTCACATGTGAAAGGAACATTTTATGAAAAAGGCGTCCTGCAATAAAACCTCACATTGATAATGGCCAAATGCACACCCCAACTAGGCTGCTATGTTAGCTATTCACGTTTATTTTAACCTCCATATGCTTTGTTCTAATTATTGCAGGAAAGACTTGGTGAGCGTTGAAGCTACAGTGATAGAGAAAACTGAATCACAGCCAAAGATAATCATGAAGTTTTGGAGAAGACATGGATATCAAAGGAAGAAATGTATGTTTTAAAGGACTGTGGGGAGGTTGCCCTATGTTTGTAACTGTGGTTTTAGCTTGCGTCCAGTACTTATAAATCCCTCCCTCTGCCAAACGGCGCTTCTATAGCCTGGTCACACACAACACTGGGTTGTGAACTTAGCATTTTGAAGTCCCGTGCTGAGAGGTAAATAAGGACATTAACACAAAGACAAATACTTACCCATCTGCCTGGGTGTTCTCTTGACTGCAGTTCAGCTCGTAGGCTAGTGCTGTCAGTGACTGAGCTGCGTATATACTCTAAGAGGGAGGACATCTCTTAGCGAGCAATAACAACTTCTGCTCCTTTTGAAATTACTCCCCTTATAGCCCTGCCTAGACTTTCTGTGGTTGTCCAATTACAGATTTCCTAATGCAGCTCAATGAGAAGTCTTTGCAAGGCAGGTGCCCTGGGCAATTGCTGCCTCTTTAATTTAGCTCCACCATGCTGATCAAACCAGGAAGTAACAGGACCTGTTGTCTGATTGAAAGTCAGGGTGGTGTAATAGGTTAATTTATAAAAGTGCCAATGTCTACTGAAATCTATACATTTTGTAAAATGAAAAAAAGACAAACTCTTCACTTATAAAGCACTTCACCAAGCTGGGCTACTTTAGGGTTTCTGAGTATCACTTTAAGTGTTCCATTAATCAAATCCAAATGGTATATCTGTTTCAAATTCATCAAAATATCACATTCCATAAAATGTGTGTAAATTCACAAAGAAAATCCATTCAAATTTCACAATACATCTATTATAGATAATTAGGCTTGCAAGCTGCAGACAGCTGTTAGTACGCAGGTAGATAAGAGAACATTAAAGGGACCTGCATCACTCTGAGACAACTGTTAGCTTTGAATTAGCTTTTTCATCATATTTACCTGCTTCCTCTTTCTTATGCTTTCCACAAAAGTAAGTGCATTGGACATGCCTGGCAGATTTACACATGTGCAGTTGAGGAGAAGAAAATGAGTCTTCTGATCAGTGTGATCATGCAGAGCATGTGTTGGTTTATCTCTCCTGCTGCTTCACAATAATGCCCTGTTTATGTCCGTAGTGGACTGGTCTGTGAGGGTGGGGGAAGGCTGAATAAAGTCCCCTAGCTGAGAGTTGTGCCCAAAAATTCACTCTGAGCAAGTTTATAGTAAATATATAAACATTTATTACATTCTTTTCAAAGTTTGTCTTGGTTTATTTCGGTTTGTGTATTTGTTTAAAAGTGTTTGTTTGCTGTTAGGTGACGCGTGTCCCTTTTTACGTAAATAAAACTATGCCGTGGAACAGTTGAATACACAGACATGTCTTTCTCCTAGCCGGGTCAACAATGATCACACATATTGTGACAGCTTCAAGTTAAAATTGAAAACAAGTAATCTAACAATATGGATATATAACAATCTGTAATATGGTCGTACTAGTGCCAATATTATTGATACAGTCTCAAAGCCCTACAACTAGTCTGGAAGCTGACAATGCTCTTTTCTTTTTGCAGGGAGTGTGACGCCGCAGACTGTCCTGAGGATAAACACTATTGAACTTGCTCCTGCTTTATCTTAAGTATCTGTTTGTTCTGTACTTTTCTTTAAACTATTAAAACACATTTCAGTTTGTATTTTCTGTGCATTTTTTATTCATTGTTACAATAATGGCTTTGTTTTTTTTTACTACATCTTTGCACTTTCATCTGATTGTTTTCTGCAGGTATAGTTATGTGCTCTATTACATTATTGGACATGGGATTTGAGTTTAATAATTAAACACCTTAACTGCCTATACAATAATGGTCAACTGTATTTGGGTGATTGTGTGCTAAAGTACACCTACATTCAGAAATGAGATTGTAGTACTTAGTATAATTGCTTTGAAATTCAAAGATAAACATCCTTAATTTAATAAGTAGGATTATGCAATAGAATCTGCCTAACATTTACATGGGTTTTCACTGAAAGGAAAGTTTATACTTTGTCATACACATTTCATGCATTCTGAAAAACAGTAAAAATATAAAACAATATGCTATCTCCGAGATTGCATGTAACCCCAACCCCAAATATATAAAACATCCCAACCCCCCACACTTTTAACATTTGCATCTGTGCATCTGCTGTATAAAAATCTTTGTTTTGTGGGAGATGGATGAAGGAACCGCAAAATAGAAATATATAACTTTAAAAGCTTGAAGGACCATCTCTGTGAAGTGGTTTTGGTGTTTTAACACTTCAAAGTAAAACATTGCTAATTAGTAACTGTAATGTTTGCATTGAAGGGTTAATAACACTTCTAGTTGCCGTCTTCCTGATAGCCACACATAACTTTATATACCTCCAAACTCATCTAAATTATATGTTCAGAGATTTGATCCCAATATCGGTCATTTATTGGAAAGGGTGAATGTTACAAAACAAAATATATTCCCAAAACCGTTTCTAAAAGTCAGTTTGCATTCGGTTCTTTGTCCTATGTCCTATACGGTCTGATATTGTGTGAATGTATTCAGTTACTAGGAGATCATCACCAATGGGATTTGTGACCTTTTAGGGCACTGCTGCTATTTTTTATTCTTCCTGATTATTCTTTATCGTTGGTTTGTATGTTTCTAGATGTCGTAATCTGGATGCTCTTCTCTCTTATTATGGTTGATAATTCAGGAAAGGCCAGAATTTATTGCAAGAGCCTGATTACTACCAGCATCTTTAGTTAGTATTGCAGATCTGAAATTAATTTGAAATGAGGCACATTCATAGAATAGACATGCTTTGTTTGCAGCACCTATGAGAAAGCAAAACTGTATCAACCCGTATCCACAGTCAAAGTCTTTTTAGAATGCACTTTGTATACCCTTCATGGAAAAGTCTATATTGGGAATACTTTTTTTTTTTTTTTTTCACTTAATGGAACAACTAATTAAATATAAGAAAGGCAAACTCCAGGAGGCCGGGGGACAAAGCTGAAATCTACAGTGTCAGCATTATAAAATAATTTGGAATGCAGGGGCATAAATGAAAGTATAAAACATGGATGAAAGCAATCACTGCGGTCAGAAGCGTGTTTGAAAGATTATAAAGAAAATAGCAAAAAGGGTGAAGTCTAAGATTAAGAATTAACACATTAACACTGCAGTCCTATATCAGATGATTAGTGATTACTAATCACATATTACTGACTTGTAAAAACTTAAGGGGGCATGCTACGCACCATAACCACTACAACACAGTTTGGACACCGCAGTCCTTTAGTTAGAGGATCCAAGTTTTACATTTGTATGTCTAGACTTGCTCGAAGGGTTTGCCTAGTGATACCCTAACTTGGAGCCACATTCTCCTCATCCTATAGCAGTGTACTAAACATCTGGGTGCATATTGTTGGTGTGTCTGAGTGTATAACAGAACTCCACAGTGATAATACTCCCAGTAATGTGTCTGAGTGTATAACAGAGCTCCACAGCAATAATACTCCCTGTAATTTTATTTGGTGTATAACAGAACTCCACAGCAATAATACTCCCAGTAATGTCTTTAAACTACAATAAATGTGTTTAGAAATCAGTCTGTGTAAATAAGATACATTGTTCTTCTTCTAAATTACATTTTAGTTACATAAATTATTAGTAAGTCCCTGAACATTTCTCAGAACAGCCTCATCCCTCACCACATCCCCATCCATACTCCTAAAAAGAGTCCCTTTTCGTCCATTTGAAATGTTGGATAGTATGTTACTGAGTAGGAGGGTGCAGAATGTACGGGAGAACAGGAGGATCATTGTTACACTTGGTTGTTACTATACAATTATAAATGAGATAATTGGTGTTAAAATAAACAAGTCCGGAATATGAAGTTTGAGACTATTATTTTAGAGGAAGCAGGAGAAATAAAGTTCTTACCTTTTTCTTATTTCTGCTCTTAACCAGAGAGATTGGAATTAACAGCTTGGTGATGGCCACAAATGCACTAATCAAATGACACAATCACCCAATAGAATGCTTCTCATAAAAGATAATTAGATTATTCACTAAACACAGAGCTTTGTCAGGATGGACAAACTCCAGTGAAAATTTACAAATTTCAAACAGAATGGCAATTCTCAGGTTTCCAATTAGAAATTCAAGTTAGAATTTGGTTGATTTGACCAAATATGTAACTGGCCGGTCGCATTTGATATCCGGATGAAAATCAGTATACAAATTATAGGATTTGGAATATTCATAAAGTAACGATTTTACAGAAATTTAGTACCGAATGCATTTTGCAAGAGAACAATCATTTTAAGTACTATTTGCCTGCTGGCTGCACTATATACTAAACATTAAAAACTAGCAACTGGGCAATCATGGTGCTGCAAACAAAGCATGTCTATTCTATGAATGTGCCTCATTTCATTCACTCCTCTTCATTACATTTCAAATTAATTTCAGATCTGCAATACTAACTAAAGATGCTGGTAGTAATCAGGCTCTTGCAATAAATTCTGGCCTTTCCTGAATTATCAACCATAATAAGAGAGAAAAGCATCCAGATTACGACATCTAGAACCATACAAACCAACGATAAAGAATAATCAGGAAGAATAAAAAATAGCAGCAGTGCCCTAAAATGTCACAAATCCTATTGGTGGTGATCTCCTAGTAACTGAATACATTCACACAAGACCTCTGAACATGTCCTCTGGCACCTGGCACAAATATATTAGCAGCAGATCCTTTAAGTCCTGCATGTTGAGAGGTGGGGAGTCCATGGCTTTGTTGTTCCAGCTCATCCAACAAATGCCGAATCAAAATGAGATCTGGGTAATATGGAGGCAAAGGCAACACCATGAAAGGGTATTCCTCCACCTCACCACATGAGTGCAAAGATCCAAGCTTTCCCAACAGAACATTGCCCAGAGCAGAACACTGCCTTAGCCGGCCTGCCCTATTGCCATTGTGCATCCTATTGCAATCTCCTCCCCAGGTAAATGACGCGCAAGGCCATTCACCTGATTTAAAAGAAATGTCAGTATATTTATATCGGCAGACATTTTGTGCTAAAATAGAAATTAAAAGTGTCTACTGCCAGTTACACTTGGAACAAAGCTGACTCCATTTTGGATTTACAGGCTAAGAAAGACATACAATTTCTCTTTCCGTAATTCTAGTCACAAGCCTGAGCTAAGGAATGCGTTATGTAAACAAGACAATGAGTCTAACAGAGAAGGGGGGATGGAATACTCTTCTTAATACTCTTCTTAATGTTAGCTTCACCAAGGAAGCCAGACACCAGTGACTGATAAAACTTAGTAATTAATTTTACTTTCTAAATCTTACTAAGTCCCATTGTAAGCAAGAGGTGAAATTAAGGTTTAGACATGTCAGAAGGTAGATTTAAAGACATACGCCCGACGCTCAGTCTGGTTAAGAGAGAAAGAAATGCTTTGATGTGACACGTCTTGCGATTTATGCAGGCCATTTAGATAAGCCAAAATTACGTCAAAATCGTCATCAAAATTAATTAACTCTTTCCAGGACAAGAAATTTTGGTGATGTAATTGCGCCATTTACTGACCAAAAACTAGATAATACTAGATAAAGGTGTACACACCTACAGTACACTGGCCGATTAACTAGTAACGTGCAGAAAGTTAGGCCCTTTAAAAAGTAAGAACAAAGGAGAAATCAAGAACAGAAGGACAGAGATTCAGGACACACATTCACACTATCTGGGACTTACACTCTTTCAAACTCTGTCTTCAAGAAACTATCAACTCTCTCTTAAACTCACATATTTCTTAATACGTTCTACTGCATACAATCATAGCCATACTTCCATTCAATTTCCTGGGACTTTTGAATTCATCTGATGAGAATATCTACAACATAACTGGTAATTATGCTGGTTTTATTTAATTAATTTAAATTAATTAAAATTTTACATAGCAGGAATATATGCCTGGATAAATTGTCAGATTTCAACTTAGAAATCTTAGTTAACTAAAGAATATATGGTTATAAAAATTCCATTACTGCAGGTGGAATTAACGTTAACGATATATTAACGGTATTTACCAACAGGTCAGCATGACACATGTTATCCAGAAATATTGACTTGCTCTAAAATAAGATAGAAAATCTTATGTAGGGAGATTAAAATTCTGCTAATGTAAAATCTGGTACATTATTCTTATTGGATGGTTCCAGGAATGGTTGGTCTGATTTGGACATTGCATTAATTAAAAATTGCAATAGGATAGTATATGCCTAGAAGGATTGCAGCCAGCATTGGAAGAGTTAATCAGTGTGCTCTAACTATCAGCCTTTATGATGTTCTGTGTGAAGTTGGTTTCTAAGCTGTCATAAATCTTGCTAAGTTCTTGACAGTTGATGCTGTAGACGCTGAATTTGTTTAAACATTGCCATTCTGTTGTATACCAATGTTATACCTAAATATTCACTGATATTATCACGCATGTTACATATTATTATTATTGTCACAATAAATTATATTTTTATAAAGAATTGTGATTTACTGTATGGAGTAAAAATCCTCATAATGAACGTTCTCTAGGATCTAAGAGAATTAAATAGTGGTTAATTCTCAAGATATCAATTTTAATATAATAAAAATTATTAAAGTAATTTTTGACACTTTTTATGAAAATATTATTTTAATATTTATAACCCCATAAATATCCCAACAGAAAACATGATTCATCAGACCAGACAACCTTCTTCCATTGCTCCATGGTCCAGTTCTGACTCTCACTTCCCTATTGAAAATGCTTTTGCCAGTGGGCAAGGGTCATCATGGGCACTCTGGTCTGTGGCTACGCAGCCCTATACGCTGCAAACTGTGTTCTGACACTTTTTTTTTATCATGGCCAGCATTAAGTTTTTCAGCAATTTAAACTGCAGTAGCTCTTCTGTGGGATCGCATCAAATGGACTAGTCTTCTCACCCCACGTGCATCAATGAGCCTTGAGACCCTGACGCCAGTTCACCTGTTGTCATTCCTTGCACCACTTTTGGTAGGTACTAATCACTGCACACCGGGAACATCCCACAAGACTTGTAATGTTAGAGATGCTCTAAGCTAATCATCTAGCCATCACTATTTAGACCTTGTCAAAGTCACTCATTCTTTTCCCTTTCCCCCCGCCCCCCCCATTTTTCCTAGAACTGACTGTGCACTTGCTGCCCAATAAATCCGACCCCTTGACAGGTGCCATTGTATCGATATAATCAATTTTATTCACTTCACCTGTCGGTTTTAATGCTGTGGCTGATCATTAAATATTACAAATAGAAATATGCGAATATATACTCATGCAGTTGGCAAATATGAAAAAAACATTTTTTAGAAGTTTTTGTGCCTGCAATGTCCAGTTAATAAAATCATTAATTTATTTGTATCTACTTTATCTTTCTCTCATGGGGGTGGGGGGCCTTAGAATTCTGTGTTTATGGGAACTGTTAACTATTTGTCACAATAGGTATATATATATTTATTTATTTTTTTTAAACAAAGTATAACTAATAGTTGTTTTTTTATCTTTGTATTTTATAATATAAAATAATGTGGGTTTTTTTTTTTACCACCCCCATTGCATAAAGCTGGCATAGATGTTTGATGGCTTCTGTGAATGATGACCCCTGTAACATCCCACATTCTAATGACAGCAGAAAACACAATTTAATGAAGTAATGATACAATGTTCCTGGCCACATACCTAAATCAGTTGTTTTGCAGAAGAAAGACAGATGGAGCGGGTAAGAAACAGCCAAAGTGTTTTGTTCATTTATTTTAAATACATGCTATTGAGCATTTATGCTAACGCACGTTTTTGCTGTTTTGATCTTGTGATCACTTCTCGTGCCGAACATTTGCTGTCCCTGTGGAAAGGCTCACTCTACCAGGCCCGACTCGTTCTTCCCACACTGAGATTGTGTCACAAAATATTTACAGATGGGATACTGAGTATCCAAATGGTGGAAAGGTGAACCTCACACTTTGATTAGAATTCGGATGGCTAAAATGACATTTATGTAAAATACGGAGGAATTGCTGGCTGTGTGATACATTCGCACTAGATTCGGGTACTCTTGGCAAGTTTACCTGGTGTGACTAACCTAAGATAGTTTCCTGGCTCCCTGTCTTGCAGGTCCCTGCTGTCTTTGCACAGTGGTGCTGACATTTACCCATGTGGTGGTGTTCCAATCCCACCCACATGTTTATTTCTCCTCCCCTGCCCTCTCCTTTCTCTTACCTCAATCTTTTTTTTCTTTGCCCCTTCCCCCCATCTTCCGATTACATTTATTGACCCAACTTGTTCTGCATTTCATTGCTTCTAGAATCCTTACATTTTAGAGAAAGTTGTTAACGAGAGGTGAAGGAGATTCAGATAAAAGAAATAAAAAATTATACCTGTATGCTAATTGGCTTAATTGTAGGGACAAAATCAAAACAACTGAAATCCGCACAAAAATAATTCTTTCAAATTTGAGTATCATTTTGAAACTTTTAATAATTGTTTCAGTTTTTAAATTAGTAGAATATATGAAAACAAACAAAAAATAATTAACAATATTTCCGAATAAACAAAAATAAATATATATTTTTGTTTAAGTCATCAATGGGGCTAATTGTAAGCTTCCTGGTATACAGAAATTCTAAACAACATTATACTAATTGGCAGTGAATATTTATGAAGAGGGTTGAAGAATCAATAATCAAAAGCATTTTAAACCTAATGTTAAATGTTACAAACTGGTTAGCCCAGTGGTTCCCAAACTTTTAAGGTTCAAGGCGTCCTTAATATTTCAATATTTTTCCAAGGCACCCCAAGTCACAATAATTTTCGAGGTTGTATATATATACAGCGCAGAAATGCTTGCCGTTGAGGCGCAGATCCATGGGAGGGGCACTGGTAGATTATAATTTAAATATTACCAAAAAGAGAATGCACACTAGAATCACCAATGAAAGTTATGCAAATATTTAATGAATATTTGTATAACTTTCATTGGTGATTCTAGTGTGCATTCTTTTTTGGTAATATTTATGTTAATTTGGTGCTTGATGGAGTACCTGTGAGTAATAGCACCTAGTGAGATAATTCTTGGATTGCCAAATATTCTCTCCATACGGTGTTATTATATAATGATCATAATTTAAAGAAATAATTCAGGCACAATAACCACTACACCTCTCTGAAGTGCCATGGTTCCCCATCAAGGGAATAGTCAAACTGTTTAAGAACAGTGTGACAACTTACCTGAGATCTGCAGGGATGGGGGCTGTAGTAGGGGATAGGGGCAGTAGTGTGTGTGTGTGAGGGGTGCAGTGTGTGTACGGGGGTGAATTGTGTTTATGAAGGATGAAGTGTGTGTGAGGGGTGCAGTTTGTGCGTGAAGGTACAGTGTGTGTGGGGGCACTGTGTGTATGGGGGGGCAGGGTGTGTGTATGTGGAGAGTTATTGTCGGTATGTGGGGGTAGGTGGGTAGATTAATAAATATGTAAGTGTTGTTTTTTTTTTATTATTTAAAAAAATCATTAATTTTCATATCCCCCTCCCTTCTTACCTTTGCCTGGGAGGGCAGAACATTGATTCAAATCACACTGCCTGGTTACAAAAACAGAGAATATGAAAATGTGCAAAAACTCAAAGAAACCTCAACAGTTTGCCCTTCGGTTAGTCCCTGCTCAGGTCTCAAAAAAGTGTTTTCTTACTGGTGCAATTAAAGAACCTATACCATTTGCATATCAAACTGGTCCCGCCCACATGGGCAGCCAGAACCAAAATGTTGCCAAGTTCACTCAACATGAATTCTGTCAAACATTTCAGATTTCATAATGCAGTAACAGTGCCAACAAACATCATTTAAAAAGGAGATGTCGATTTTCTGGTGACGATTAACGTTCCCTCGCCCAGTAAATGCTATTAAAGTGTTTTCCGGAAAATTATGTACAATAGGAGGTAAATGTGAAACACTCTGGAAATGCTCTTATTGCGTGTGTGTGGCTAGCAGCAGGTGGTGAACAAGGAATTATGGGACATTTAAAATTTGCATTGAATGTCATAGTTTGCTACCACAGCCTTGGATTCCATGCAGATCCAATCAGAATTAAATGGGATGTTCTGACATGCCTTGATTTTACACCTCCTACAGTCGGCATGTAAATAATTGTACTGTTGTCTAAAAACGTTAACGTTTATAAATGATGACTTCAAATAGTTACATAGCTAAACACTTTATATCCACGGGAAACTAGCCACTAGACAAGTAGCTAAAAGCACACTAATAGTGGCACACTTGCAGATTGCTATTAAACCAGAGCTACACACTGCTAATAGAATGAACGCCCATAAATAAATCCCAATTGGATATTCCAACAGATAGAGTTCCACTTCAGTATTCACGATGTATCAGATCTGGAAAAAAACACAGCTAAACCTAGCGCTTATCATAAACCTAGATACTTTACTGCGGATAAAAGTCAATACTTATAAAAATTCAGGTATAGCAGGAACTTCAGGAGTGAAACCCCTTAACCGGTAGTCTCCGTGTCAGCAGAATATATGGTCCTCTGGTGGTGCACAGGTTTAATGTGGACTTTAATATAAATCTGTAGTTGATGAACTCCCAGACCAGATTCCAGCATGCTTTCAGCAGCGCAGTGAGGTGACGTAACGCCTTCCACCGGATATGTATGTTTGGAGAAGCTTTTTCAAATAATTGTATATTTTTGGCTAAACTTTTAAAATGATTTAACGATTTTTTTAATATTAAACTATTTCAATTTTTTTTTTATAAATGTTATATGTTTTTATATTTTAATATTCTGATCACAACATGGAAAACTTTTCAAATGATTTCGCTATAGAGTCACCACTAAAGTCTGAGAAATTTTGAAGCAGAGTTTTTTGTAACAGATTTTGATCATTCTATAGAATTAAGGCATTAAGGACAGCTGCCACATAAAAACTATGTTTTAATATAATAATCCTTTTATATAGGGATACATTTTTCTCATTGTTTACAAATAATTCATTTAAATATTTATATATTTAAATGAATTATTTGTAAACAATGAGAAAAATGTATCCCTATGTTTAGTAAATGGCAGGATCCTTCCGCCATACATGTACACTTTGTGTCTGACAGTGTTTTGAAGACAGACAGTGTTTCTGGTCTTCTCTGTTTCTGTGCTGTGAGTGAAGCAGGGAAGACCATAGACAATATTTGTCATGTTCAAACACTGTCTGACCCAAGGTGTATCTATATGGCTGAAGGATCCTGTCATAGACTAAAGATGCGGATTCACTTTTCTGATTTCCTTTAAAAAAACAAACTTCTATTTCCTGTCAAAAATATTGTTTTGAGGTGACTGTTGTCCTACTATTAAGTGTAAACATGTCCCCGTGAATTAGGCAACAAAATAGTTTCCTAGTTAATTTCCTGCATTTCTCAGTATTGACCAACATTTATTCAAAATACAGATTGAGGAACAGTGCACACACAAAAATACAGTTTTAAATTTGACAAGACTACTTGTAATGTATTGCAGTTAGCATGTTTATCTCCCATGTTAAATCGGTGTAGGACCCACCGATATTGGGGTACTGTGAAGTAATTAGTGTAGGACCCACCGATATTGGGGTACTGTGACGTAATTAGTGTAGGACCCACCGATATTGGGGTACTGTGATGTAATTAGTGTAGGACCCACCGATATTAGGGTACTGTGACGTAATTAGTGTAGGACCCACCGATATTGGGGTACTGTGACGTAATTAGTGTAGGACCCACTGATATTGGGGTACTGTGACGTAATTAGTGTAGGACCCACCGATATTGGGGTACTGTGACGTAATTAGTGTAGGACCCACCGATATTGGAGTACTGTGACGTAATTAGTGTAGGACCCACCGATATTGGGGTACTGTGACGTGACGTAATGTAGTGTAGGACCCACCGATATTGGGGTACTGTGACGTAATTAGTGTAGGACCCACCGATATTGGAGTACTGTGACGTAATTAGTGTAGGACCCACCGATATTGGGGTACTGTGACGTAATTAGTGTAGGACCCACCGATATTGGGGTACTGTGATGTAATTAGTGTAGGACCCACCGATATTAGGGTACTGTGACGTAATTAGTGGAGGACCCACCGATACTGGGGTACTGTGACATAATTAGTGTAGGACCCACCGATATTGGGGTACTGTGAAGTAGTGGTGGGCTTAACATAAAATGGCCATATGGTGGAACTGAATCCTTATATTTGTTTGCGGATATAGGTGATTTTAAGTAGCTTTATAAAATTTAAAACTGTTTTAGTTTTTTTTGTGTGTGTGTGCGTTGTCCCTTTACCTGTATTTTGTATATATTTTGATTTCTACGGCAGGACCACTGCTGAGAAATGTATGTTCTGGGTGTGCCCCTAATTCCCCTTTTCTAATTTTCCTAACAAGGCACTCAGGGGTGGGTATTCCCATCTATCCTATACCTCATAACAATGAGTGTCAAATCGAGTGGGGCTGGGAGTGAGAGGCTGGGCCTCAGAGGGGATATGCTTGTAATGTTTATTGTTGTAGGTTTATTGGTTAGCTAGGGTGGTCAAAAAGTCCATTTGTGCACGGCAAACAAAAATTGGTTCTGTAAAAAACAATAAATTGAGTGGTCCAAAACTAATCTATATGGTGTTTTGGTTAAGATGAATTTAGTCCATGCAACAATTTGGAAAACGATACAGACGAAAGTATACTGCAAAATATTAATATTATGTACATAGCTAGCAGTACACTGGTAGGTGCATTGTCACACCTTTAGGATCACAGATCAAAGGAGAAGAAGTAACCAACAAAGGAAAAACAAGGAGCATAAAAATATATATATTTATTTATTTGTTAAATATATAATATATACTCTAAATATATAAATGTAGATAGTTTTTTTACTTCTTATTTTCCCTATGTTGGTCAATTTTCATTGGTGTTTGTCATGGTTTGTCCATTGGCCATATGTTTTGTTCTGGATTCGGTCATGTGGCGCTTTGGAGTTACGGAATGGGGACGACCCGTAAATCACCCAAAATTTATAAGAACAACAATTAGTATGAAACAAAATGCACAAATCTATCAGAAAGGCAGTCCTACAATCAAGCCAAATAGAGCCTCACTTGTACAAAGTGCTACTGACATTCTCTCATTTGGACAGAGATGTTATGACATGCCATCTCCATATAAGACGTTTTAAAATGTTCATTAAAGTGAGAAAGAATTGCAAAAGTAACTAATAAATATACACTTGGGTCAAGGGATTTGGTCACAGTGATATTTAAAGGGACACTATAGTCACCAGAATAATTACAGCTTATTGTATTTGTTATGGTGAGTATAGTCAGTCCCCGCAGGCTTTTTGCTGTAAACACTTTCTACCTCCACTGGCCACTCCTCAGATGGCTGCTAGAGGTGCTTCCTGGGCAGTGCTGCACAGTGTCACTGACATTCAGTGTCTCCACCCTCGGCATGCAGACACTAAACATTGATTCAATTCATCTCTATGAGGAGATGCTGATTGGCCAGAGCTGTGTTTTACTTGTGCTGGCTCTGCCCCTTGCTCTGCCTCCTTGACAGTATCAGCCAAATCCTATGGGAATGCATTGTGATTGTGATTGGCTTTGATCAACACTTCTGATTATGTCAGCCAAGCAGGCCGATCAGGGGCAGAGCCAGCAGCAGCAGACTGGAATAAAAGTAGGATTTTACTATATTTAGGTGGGCAAGTGGAGGCCAGGGGGCTAAATGGTGGTTTTAACACTATATGGTCAGGAATACATGTTTGTGTTCCTGACCCTATAGTTTTCCATTAAAATATGATTCATGAGCAAAACAATATTTCCCCTGCGATCTGCTACAACATCCGTAAAACGTGCCACACATTACCTACAGAAATCATAACAGGAAGGCATTTTGTACATTACACACTACTCATTGGCAAATTTACATAAAAGTTAGGAAGGATGGTTTTCCTTCAGACATATTACTAAAGAATACATTTACAACTGGTTTATGGAATTAATTTGCTTCTGGCACATTTCTACTAGCAGCGGCAGAACTATCGCCAGTGCTGGTGGTGCAGCTGCACTGGGTCCCATGCGCTGAGTGAGAGGTCCATGCACTTAGGTCCACCCGATGACAATATGTCTTTAGGGGCCTGGTCAGTGCTGCGTCCCTTCAAAACTGCTCCTGGACCCCTTTAATCTAGGAAGCCAGCATAGAGAGGAAGTAACAGCAGGTTCCTTCCTCCCTGTTGACAAAAACCGAGACACGCGGGAGCAAGGCAGAGAGGCGGGGACTGCAAACTGGAGTCTCATATACCAGGGAAGCCACCATCCTGCACCCAAAAGGTAGGAAACAGGAGGCTGGCTAAAAAAAAAAAAAAATTTCACTTATGTATCTTTTTGTGTGTATCTGTGTGCATGTATATGTGTCTGTATTTGTATGAGTGTCATTCTGTGTATCTGAATGTGTGTCAGTCTGTGTATCTGTGTGCCATTCTGTTTGTCTGTGAATATGCATTTGGGTCAGTGTGTGTATCTGTGTGTCTGTATGTGAGTTAGTGTGTGTCCGTGTGTTATTGTGTGTGTGGTTGTGTTAGCTTGGGTGTCAGTGTGTGCATCTGTGCATCTATGTATCTGTATATGTGTTAGTGTGTGTCTGTGTATCTGCATTGTGTCAGTGTGTGCCTCTGTGTGTGTGTGTGTGTGTATATATATATATATATATATATATGTATCTATGTTTGTATCTGTATTAGTGTCATTGTGTGTGTATCTGTGTGTATGTCAATGTGTGTATCTGTGTGTCTGTATCTGTCTTTGCATGTGCATCTCTGTACCTGAGTATGTGTGTATCTGTATGTGTGTCAGTGCGTGTATCTGCATGTGTGTCTGTATCTGCATGCATGTGTCTGTATGTATATCAGTGTATGTGGCAGTGTATCTGTGCATACATCTCAGCATTCAAACGCCAAAACTACTTACAAATACACCCTTACATTCAAAGACAAACACTACATACTCCATACAAAACATGCTAACATTCAAACACACAAACACTACTCAATGCTTAATACAACCAATAGGCAAAAAGCATGGGCAAATGGTAGATCCACAGCTGGCAAAACATTGTGGGAGTTGTATGACAGAGGGGGATTTACCTTTAAGCCATCCTTGCGATTGGGGGGTTTAAAAGAATTATTGCACCAGTTCCACCACTGACTACTAGGCATAATTATCTGTGAAGGAACCTTTAAATGTTGACGCATTGCTAGTCCATTAACGTAACTTAGGGATCCCTCCTAGTCTTGTGATAACCTTAACCCCTTTGTTATGTAAGTCTCACTTACATATATGTCTACTCCATTAATATTACCAACGTGAAGAGGAACACGTTTCCTTACCAGGAACCCATTCTACCTATTTAATGTCTGACAAATGACCTGAAAATGAAAGCCACCCCCTCTTCTTCAAAACAGTAAAGAAGGCATCAAAGGTCATATCATTCTTACAGTCAGGGGAGGAGGTAAGTTAATTACATTAATGTTCATTGAAATTAACAGAAATTGCAATAAAACGTTGTACATACCTCTACTTTAGGACTATATGATTTAAATTTTTTTACAGTGTTGCTCAAATGCAGGCACTCTTTTTACATTATGTTTCCATTTTCAGTAAACTGTATTGCTAGTAGTGCCATCGAGGTCCTTATAAATACATACAAGCAGGATATTTGACCATTTTTAGTAATCTATTTTTGTCATATTCTATAGGTTATTTGTTACATGTGAGTTTACAGAGGAAGAGGTTCTATTTCAACTGTCAAAGGTAAAGACAAATAAGTCAATGGGACCTGATGGAATACACCCAAAGTTATTAAAAGAGCTTAGTGGTCTACTAGCAAAACCATTAACAGATTTATTTAACCAATCATTGTTAACAGGAATAGTCCCAGAAGATGGGAAGTTAGCGAATGTTGTGCCCATTCACAAGAAAGGTAGTAGGGTGAAATCGGGCAACTATAGGACAGTAAGCCTTACTTCAGTAGTGGGGAAAGTGATGGAAACCATGTTAAAGGATAGGATTGTTGAATATCTAAAAACACATGGATTTCAAGATCAGAGACAACATGGGTTTACTTCAGGGAAATCATTCCAAACTAATCTTATTGATTTTTTTGATTGGGTAACTAAAATAATAGATCAGGGTGGTGCAGTAGACATTGCTTACCTAGATTTCAGTAAGGCTTTTGACACTGTTGCACATAGAAGGCTTATCAATAAAATGCAATCTTTAAGTTTGGATTCCAATATTGTTGAATGGGTAAGGCAGTGGCTGAGTGACAGGCAACAGAGGGTTGTAGTTAATGGAATATATTCGAAGCTTGGACTTGTCACCAGTGGGGTACCTCAGGGATCTGTACTTGGACCCATTCTCTTTAATATTTTTATTAGTGATATTGCAGAAGGTCTTGATGGTAAGGTATGTCTTCTTGCTGATGATACTACTATCATGGCAAATGGTAAATTATTTAGGAAACTAGAAAAATGGTCAGAGTTGTGGCAACTGACATTTAATATGGATCTTGGACGTAAAAACCCAAGGAGAGAGTACAGATTTGATAGAGTCCTAACCTCAACATCTGAGGAAAGGGATTTAGGGGTGATTATTTCTGATGACTTAAAGGCAGGCAGACAATGTAAAAGAGCAGCAGGAAATGCTAGCAGAATGCTTGGTTGTATAGGGAGAGGTATTAGCAGTAGAAAGAGGGAAGTGCTCATGCCATTGTACAGAACACTGGTGAGACCTCACTTGGAGTATTGTACACAGTACTGGAGACCGTATCTTCAGAAGGATATTGATACCTTAGAGAGGGTTCAGAGAAGGGCTACTAAACTGGTTCATGGATTGCGGGATAAAACTTACCAGGAAAGGTTAAAGGATCTTAACATGTATAGCTTGGAGGAAAGACGAGACAGGGGGGATATGATAGAAACATTTAAATATATAAAGGGAATCAACACAGTAAAGGAGGAGACTATATTTAAAAGAAGAAAAACTACCACAACAAGAGGACATAGTCTTAAATTAGAGGGACAAAGGTTTAAAAATAATATCAGGAAGTATTACTTTACTGAGAGGGTAGTGGATGCATGGAATAGCCTTCCAGCTGAAGTGGTAGAGGTTAACACAGTAAAGGAGTTTAAGCATGCGTGGGATAGGCATAAGGCTATCCTAACTATAAGATAAGGTCAGGGACTAATGAAAGTATTTAGAAAATTGGGCAGACTAGATGGGCCGAATGGTTCTTATCTGCTGTCACATTCTATGTTTCTATGTCATAACTAATAAATGTTAAAAAAAAGTGTATTTTGTATTTCTAATAAGGATTACTTCTGTAGACAGTCTAAAGCTTTCATTCCCTCAGTATTTTTTTTAGAAAGGATGAAAGAATAAATGACAATTAAAACGTGTGAATTTGCGTAAGTTTAATGTGTATGTGTGAGCAGCAATCTATACACATATGTGATAACTAACTGCATCCTGTGTTTCAAATACAGGCTATGCTATTGTTTTTATTTTGTCTCAAACTATAATTGTATGGGGACAAAAGGGTTAAGTGTTAATCACAAATGTGTCAATTATTAGGAATTCATAGTGGATTTTACATTTTAAGCCAAAGAACAGGAGACATTCTCAAAGTCAGCAATGTTTTTAGTTTGTCTATTTTAGTGTAAAATGTCACTTTTACTGGGTAATCCTGGAATTTATCATAGGGGGTTGAGCGTTTTTTGACAGCACTTTAAAAAAAAAAAATTCAAAGTGTCAGAAAAGTCAGGTAATGTTTTATATCCTGTCTCCAACGTTGTGTTGCTTATATCTTTAGTATATCCTTGTATATGCAGCACAGTAAATCTGCAAAACATAGGTTAGAATATAAACGTACGCACAATTTATAAAATCAACCAAAACTGTTCTGTCCTCCAAAAACATCTCAAATAATATTTTCCATCTTTGTGATTCTATTTGGCTAAGAGTTAAAAATGTATCAATTCTAACAGTGTTTTCATTTTTTTTTATTTGTGTATTAAAACAAATGTGCTCTAACACTGACTTTAAAACAAGTGCAATTTGATTTGTGGCTTTAAGGTCCCTTTAAATAAAAGCTCTTTTTTCGTGAAAGGACAACCCATCTGATTGTCATATGCCGAGTGCCTCTAATTCCGGCTCTGAACAAGTTAAATAAAAAGACCATTCTTGTTCACTTATTCGGTGTGACCCAATGACACTACATAATGATCTGTGCTTCAAACTGCTCATAAGCTGTGCCAGAGCCTTGCAGTACATTGCATGTCATTTTATGCTTCAACAGCCAGAAGAATAGGAGGCGGGCGTAAACTATGAAGTAGGCAGGAAATATTTGATTTGGAGAGAGAAGGTTGGCTACGGGACAGAAATGTATTTACTCCTTGCCAAACCAAAAAGCACAGCGAAAGAGATTGAATTGCATGGCACATTGTGTCCGTTTAGTATGCATTTAGCTCTCTCAGTCTAGCTGTTTATCTAATTAAACAGGCTACGTTAAGGGTTACAAGTGCAAAGATAATATATAATGACCTCAAACTTTCCTCTTCCACGTCCTTTGAGAAGATCCCTGAGCCTGGCTTCTGCACGGACCATGCGCATCGTGGTGTTGGGGCAAAGCGCTGTAGGCAAAACCGGTAAATATCTTTTTATATTTTGTCACTCTTCGATGGTATTTTGACAAAAAGAGCTGGTTGGCACACATATGCTATAAGGGATAATTAGTAAAAACAAGCATCGGGAAGAATTAGGAACTAGGCAGATACAAATTAAAGGTCAAAATTAATGAGTTGGGGAAATAGCTGAAATGGATCACTTTTTTAGCTAATCTAATTTGGCCTAAAATTGGAATTCCTTTCATAGATCCCCACAATATCCAGTTTAGTGAATACAAAAACATCTTTATTGTTTAATTTGGTTGTAATTTAAGTTGTATTCTACTTTTTGAATGTGTGCATCGACATATAAATCCATCAGAGGTCTGCAATGGCATCTCAGTATTGGTCTATACTAAAAGAGATAAACAGATAGATTTTAACACATTGAATTGTGATAAAATAAATTTGATTGTGACATAATCAACACTATTCCATTAAGGTTTCCATTCAAATATGTTTGTCAATTTGTTCGCATTATGTACGCATCATGCATTAAAGCAACAATACAAGCACCATAACCACAGCAGCGCACTGTGGTCGTTATGATTCCAGGAATGCCGCGGCGCCCACCCCAATGTAAGTAGTCAAACCGCTTTAGAATAATTTTACTTCTTGCTTGGGGTCTGACAAATTCCACTGCCTACCTGTATTACAAGTTAGAGAGAGCTGGAAGCTATCTGTCTGAGCTTTGCCCGGCACTGCAAGGCTTAGTCCAGGAGAATAAAGAGCAGACACTCTGCAGACTCCAGGTCTTCTAAACTATTTGAAAACTAACAGTTTGAGAGCACTGTGGTGGTTTTGGTGTCTGGCAAGCTCATTGAAGGTCAAGGTATTAAAGTGAATTAGTCTGGTGAATAGGTTGGAGTTTAACCCCTTAAGGACACAACTTCTGGAATAAAAGGGAATCATGACGGAATATTTCCATCATGTGTCCTTAAGGGGTTAATACCCAAGTTAAAAATGTTATGGGTTTTTGCCTGAAAATTAGCCCATCTGGGATACACAAAGGTCGACACAGTATTGAGATGACGGTCCCTTTAACATTTGTAATTTAAGCCTTCAAGCTACCTAAGAACTTTCAAACAATGGTCCAATTGATGTGATTTTGGCTTTGTTGTTAGGTTAATGTGCTTGTGGGCATTTACTGATTGCTAGATGACAATAATGCAGAAATCTAGTAAATGTTGCACGTCTACGTTTTAAGGAATGTCTGGTTTGTTTAACAAAACCTTTTTTCTTGCCAAGAATGCCGAACATTTGCTTCTGTGCAATATGAAACACTGACTGACAAACAAAATTACATTTTACATTTTTATACTACACAAAATCTTTGTCAATGACTTTCAACATTGGAACTCTCTAGGCATTCATTTCCTTTCCAACCCAACAGCCCCTTGTCATGCTGGTTCCCTCAACAATCATGGGTAATGTTATCTTCAGCTGTTGAGAATTATGTCTTGAGTTTAGTTCCGAGAGCGCTAGCAGAGGAAGCGCAAACCTCTGTTTCTGCAAGGTAACACTGTATAATATACTGACATATCTTCCAGACGTGGGAGGTATGGAATTTGGAAAGGTGGAACCATGCCAGTGATTTGGTTCACTTTGGTGGTAATGCCCAATGGCCAGACACAGAGCGTACTGTAGCCCACAAGCAATACTCCAAACCTTCTAACCAGGACTGCCAATGGACACGGCATTGCTGATGCACTCTCGTAGGAGCAGAAATGCCCTAGAATAGCTTTGCACAGCCACAGGAATAATTCATGACTTACTGGCGGTGAATTTGTGTGTATGTGCGAATCTGTGAGCGCCTGTCAATCAGTGTATCTACATCTATGTGTCTGTGAATCTGCATGTGTTTGTTAATCTGTGTATATACACCTGTGTGTCTGTGAATCTGTGTGTCTGTGAATCTGTATGTGTTTGTTAATCTGTGTATATAGAACATATTCCATAATTGGAAAAGCTAAGTATTGTTTTTTGCACATAATTGGTTGCACAAAGAAATATTTTGATTGCACTATTTGCATATTCATATGTCTAAGTGTGTTGCACATTGATGCACTTGATCACTTTAACTGCACTATTGCGCAAATTATTTTCACTGTTTATAAATATTTTGAGTCTTAAAGGCACAGCGCACTTTATTTTTACATTGTCTTACTATAGGTGATTGAGCTTTTTTCACTTTATATAGTGCGGCTTATTAGTATATATTGTAGTTTTAAATTCAGCGCCATAACATTACTTGTGTGGTTTATCACTTTGTATATACAAAGTGTCTGTGAATCTGTGAGTGTTTGTTAATCTGTGTATATACACCTGTGTGTCTGTGAATCTGTGAGTGTTTGTAAATCTGTATGTGAATCTGTAAATGTGGATCTGTGCATGTCTGTATGAATTGTGGGTGTGAAGGGATACTGAAATCAGATGCCCACTTTGAGGCATGTACATAATTGGAAATGACAAAGTGAATTTAAAGTGAATATGAAAATTAAGGCCAAAGTAGTCAAACTGTAAGCATAGCCTACTTGGAGAATATTTACAGTTTGAACATTTTGGCCTTAAATTTCAAATTCAGTTTGGATTTCTGATACTAAATGGAATAATCCTGTAAAAAGTGGATTGTTGTAAATTAGCAAGGGAATTGCAAAATCTAGGCTAAAATAGGAAAACCAGAAAATATCCAGTTCAGCTCTTTATTGCTAAATTGGCTACCTTGCCATAGATATTGCAATTTTCTTACCAATTCGCCTCAGTTCACTCGAAGACACAATTTGGCTTGCTAGGTTACTCATAGACAGCAGATATTTTGGTTTAAATATGATTGGGGTCCTAGACACCTTTTTGTATTATTATTACTAAAAACATCTGACCAAAAATCAGATGGGAACACAAAAAAAGAGAGAGGTCCAGGTAAGTATATCTAACTTTGTCTTTCCCCTGTGCCCCCACGGTGACATGTCACCTGCCAAAAGCATGCAAACACCTGAAAAGGGACAGTTTTACTTTAACAAGTCTAAATTCCTGGAAAAAGATTCATCACCACGAGAATTAAAGGGGAATTAGTGCACCAGAGCTAACGAATGAACCCTGATAATGGAACGACTGTTCATTTAATGCATGGATGAATGGTCTAATTTGTGCTGTGAAAATCTAATAAGGGTTGCTGCATCGAGATCCAACTCATAAATGGCAAGAGATGGTTGTGGATTCATGATTTCTTCCTCGTTGCTAGTCTGCTTTTTATTAGCCCTAATTTGTAGCCATGAGCCAGTTTCACATTTCATTCATTTCAATGAACAAATCTATTAAACTACCTGCTGGACTGCATTTTATGGCCATGACAACGTAGAAAGCTTTTTCACTGTGCCTCGTAGATTTAGGAATCGATACAATTGTTTCTAGATTAGAATCCAAAACACCCAACACATACCATCCATTAAAGGACCACTATAGTGCCAGGAAAACATACTCGTTTTCCTGGCACTATAGTGCCCTGAGGGTGCCCCCACCCTCAGGGTCCCCCTCCCGCCCGGCTCTGGAAGGGGGAAAGGGGTAAAAACTTACCTTTTTCCAGCGCTGGGCGGAGAGCTCTCCTCCTCCTCTCCGCCTCCGTTACGCCCCGCCGGCTGAATGCGCACGCTGCAAGAGCCAGCGCCAAGATTCAGTAAAGATAGAAAGCATTTACAATGCTTTCCTATGGACGCTGGCTGCGTTTCTCACTGATTTTCACAGTGAGAAGCACGCAGCTTCTAGTGGCTGTCAATGAGACAGCCACTAGAGGATTAGGGGGAAGGCTTAACCCATTCATAATTATAGCGGTTTCTCTGAAACTGCTATAATTATGAAAAAATGGGTTAACCCTAGAAGGACCTGGCACCCAGACCACTTCATTAAGCTGAAGTGGTCTGGGTGCCTAGAGTGGTCCTTTAAAGAGACTCTGTATCTGGTATTAGACAATAAACGGTACGAAATTAGACAATCGTCCTACATAGTGGATGAATTAAAATATTATTGTAACACATGGGAAAGCTACATTAAATGTGCATATGCCTTATGAGTAAGACCTACAACTGACCTAAATTAATATTTAGTCTAATAATTAAATCATTGATTAAAGTGTCTATACCGTCAGTGTTTTATTGTGTATTTACTAATCTTGTCATGCTGTTTGTGCGATTGTTTATTTATTATCATGATTATATTCTTTAATTGTGAAGGTCTGGATGGATGTTACTCCCTTTTCATTTTCTGTTTTCCCCTTTTTCATTGAAAACCTTTGTTATAGTAATATTTTGAAAAAATGTAAATAATAAAAAAAAACATTTAACAAGAATCTGAAAGCATTCCGGATGCATGGCACATTGGAGAGTTGTCACATTGACCAGCTAGTTTTAATGGGGCTCCAACGTACAAGTTAAAGTGTTCAAATATAGATTTTTCTAATTGTTCTTCAGTGGGTCTCTTTAAATAGTTCTTGCTTCGAATCTGAACAGTTCTTTATTTGTAATATTTGAGCAGACACATCGGTAAAAGATACATTGTTTTATAGTAGGCTCCAATTTAAAATTACAGCCTCAGTCTTCTTTATAACATTGTAGCAAGTTCTTAAATCTGTCCAGGGTCAACAATTCTCCATATTTTTGGAACACATACGAATGCTTCATTCTGTTAAGCAGGGCTTGAAAGTGTTGTGAGGTTCTACATTGCATTCGTATGCTCCTTGCGTGAAATGAATTTAAAAAATCACAGCTGCTACTTTGGGATATCAGCTGAGACAAACAGATTTCACACTGGGCAATGGTCTCCATTTAAAGCAGCACTGTCACCCTCCTCTCAAACCCCCCGAAAAATTTGTATTTCATGATGATAGAATCTTTATGAAATCCTTAATTTGACTGTGTTGGATTTTCACCGAAATTACACCCCAGTCGAGCGATATACAGAGACAAATCAGGGACTACTTTGTCTCTGTATTTTCCTCCGCTTGACACTTCTTTTTTTTTTTTTTTTTTATTCTTTATTTATGAAATGATCAGACACCACAACAGTATATGCAACATGATGCAATAAAGAACAACATCGCAATCACCAAAACAATACGCATTACTTGTAAAAAACAAACAATATTGCAAAGTCTGACTACCAATCACAAACAGCATATCTAACATATGAATGTCGTCTTTACGAGTTTGATTACTGCGGTATCCCACCCATTTTATTTTAAGTAAGACAATAAGTTCCCATCTGATAGTGAAATACACAATGATATTTCACGCTATCCATCCATAGCTACCCCTAGAATGCAGTAAGAATTTGGCTAGGTCAATGAACCAAAACTCAGTGTACAGGGATGACATTTATGCGAAGATATTTTAATAATAGCCTACCAATAAACACCCCTCGACCCGCCCCTCCAAATATAGCTTCAGTGAGCCATATGGTAACTGGGCAGTAACCAAATAGATGGGAAAAGACAATAAAAAGATAAATAAAGAAAAGAACAGGTTAACCGAAAGAGGAGTACCAAAAGGATAGAAGAGAAAAAAGAAGAGAGAGTAGGATTGGGAGTAGGATTGGGAGGGGGTATTATAGTGATTTTCCCAGAATAGTAATGATGCCGATACGATCAGATAGCTGGATAGCCACGAGCCGGGATGTTTTTAGCAAGTACCGCCATGCCAGTGCGAAAAACTATAAACCGTGAACATCTCGTGGGATCCTGAGGGTCCCGCTTCGGAAGGGGGAGTAAAAGTGTGCTATGCATCCTGTCATCAATAGAGGTGTTTCGGGGTACGCAGGGAACGAGCCCGTCCCCCACTCCCCTAATCACCCACCCCACTAGCCACCCACGGGTTCCAAATCTTTTCCATTTTCTTCTTAGTGCCCCGGACCCTAGCTGTTAACTCGTCCATTATGTATGTATCCTTAATCTTTTGTATCACCACCTCCATAGGGGGGGTCTCTCCCTGTAGCCACACTTGGGCCATGGCCCTTCTGGCAGCCAGGGTCACCTTATGTAGTAAATTTTGTTCCGATCTGGACCAGTTCTCCAGCGATCTGGCCAGGAGGAAAACCCAGGGGTCTGGTTTGATCACCCTATCAAAGATATTTCCCAGTAAATCCGCGACCCGTTTCCAGAATTTTTGTGCCTCTGGACAGACCCACCACATATGTATATACGTCCCTTTCTGGCCACATCCTCTCCAGCATAAATCTGTATTAATTTTATTCATCCGGTAAAGCTTCGCCGGGGTAGCGTACCACCGGAACATAGTCTTATAGGCTTGTTCTTGAAATGTGACACAAATAGACGAGGTCGCCGCTGCCTCCCAGATCTCTTGCCACTCAACACCCTCCAGTTCCTCATTCAGATCCATTTCCCATTGAGACGTATAATGAAGCTCCCCCCATTCAGATGTGGTCGTACTGAGGTGCGCGTATAAGTTAGTGATGAGGCCTTTCGGAAATTGTTCTTGAATGCACATTCTTTCAAAAAACGTGAGTGGAGTCAAGGCGCTAGTTTTAATCTGTGGGTTATGGGCGAAGTCCCTTAACTGGAGGTATCGAAAAAAATCGGAGGGACGTAGAGTAGCTCTGGACTTCAAATCATCGAAGGATATAAAAGCACCCCCCTCATAAAGATGACATAGTCGTTGTACCCCTGTGCTCTCTATGCCCTTAAAGTTTCTGGCTTCCAATCCCGGAGGGAACGCTCGATTCCTCAGATAAGGGGCCAATGGGGACAGATGGGGGGATAAACCGTATTTGGTCGATGTTGCGTCCCAGATTTTCAAAGAGTTAGCGATAGCTGGGCAATCGACATGTATCAATGGTCTGTGGTCCCTAGGGACCCACATAAAGAATTGAGGGACGTCGGAACCCAGAAGGGTGGCCTCCAGGTCGACCCACCGCCTCTCTTCCGGGGGAGCATGCCATAGTGCTATTTGAGTTAATTGGGACGCTAAATAATAGAAATAGAGGTTTGGTAGACCTAAGCCCCCCCTCGCTTTTGACCTGTAAAGAACGTTACGCGAAACTCTATGTTTCCTGTTCTGCCAAATGAATTTCCCAATGGCCTGCTGGAGCGTCCCTAGATCTGACTTGGACAGCCGGACCGGGAGAGCTTGAAATAGAAACAGAATCCTAGGGAGAATATTCATTTTCACAGAGTGAATCCTACCAATCCAGGAGATCGGCTTATCTATCCATTTCTCCATGTCTCCTATCAAGGTGCGGATCATAGGAACATAATTTTGCTGAAATAATTGGGAAGGGTCCGCTGTCAGCCGAACCCCCAAATACTTTATATGATCGTTTGCTATATGTATCCTATAGGTGTCTCCGATGTGGGTGATATCCGTGTCGCTCATGCTTATGGGAAGTGCGCTTGACTTAGTTAAGTTCACCCTATATCCGGCCAATTCGCTATAGGCCTCCAACACTGTCGCCAATGCCTCCATAGAATTTATCGGATCCGTCAGGGTTAGCAAGACATCGTCAGCAAAGCCAGACACCACATATCGCTGCTCCCGAATCACGATCCCCTTGATGTCGGAGCTATTTCTAATTGTTTGTAGGAGGGGTTCCAAAGAGAGAGCGAACAATAGAGGTGACAGCGGGCAGCCCTGCCTAGTCCCATTCCCCAAATTGAAAGGTTCCATCTTCGCGCCCGAAATCCGGACTCGAGCCCGAACGTCAGTGTACATTGCTTGTATCGTAGTTATAAAGGGTTCAGGGATACCAAACTGTCGGAGAGTCTCGAAAAGATAAGGCCACTTTACCCTATCGAAAGCTTTCTCCGCGTCGAGTGACAATATCAACGTCGGAATCCCCCTAGTTGCCTGCCGCCAGATAAGATCAATGTTGCGTCTAGTATTTTCAAATAGCTGCCTGCCAGGCACAAAGCCCACTTGGTCAGGGTGTATCAATCGTGTTAACAAGGGGTTCAGTCTGTGTGCCAATATTTTGGCAAGGATTTTGGAGTCATGGTTTATCAAAGAAATCGGGCGAAAGTTTTCGGGGACAGAATCATCCTTGCCGGGTTTCGGTAACAGCACAATATCCGCTATTGACATATCCCTATCTGGCGTTCCTCCCTCCATTAGGTCGTTAAACCACTTTTCCATGTGGGGTATAAGTTCCTCTCAAAATATCTTATAATAGCTACCGTCGAAGCCATCCGGGCCCGGAGCTTTGTTACCCTTTAAAGCGGATATTGCAGCATCGATCTCTTCGACCGTAATCCTTTCTCCAAGGGCAGCTGAGTCTTCTCCCCGCAACATAGGTAGCTTCAATTGAGATAAAAATGCCTGCGAATTGTCCGTGTCACTCCTCTGGGTGCTTGTAGCCCCGCTGGAATGATTATATAATTTGGTATAGTAATCTGTAAAAACCTTAGCAATAGCGGAAGGGTCTGTGCAATACTTACCCGTAGCGTCTTTGATTCTTGTAATATGAGAGTGACTCTGTCTCGGGCGAAGAGATCTGGCCAACAAGGTATCCATTTTGTTGGATTTTTCATAGTAAGTCCTCTTGGACCAGACTAAAGCTCTAGCAGTCTCGTCGAGGAGCGTTTCGCAGACCGAAGCCCGCAATTTCCTTACTTCCTGCAATGTGGTAGGCGACGAGGCCGCCTTGTGTTTTTCTTCTGCTTTCCCCAGGGCTTCCAGGAGAGATGTTAGTAATTGTGTCTTACGTTTCTTCTTATGCGTGGCTTCGCGGATCAATATACCCCGGATAACCGTCTTGTGTGCGGCCCACACCGTGGCAGGCCGGGGACCAGAGTCCGCATTCCTTGTAAAGTACTCAGTCAGTTCCTTACGCGTGATCTCCACCACGGCTGGATCCTGAAGCAGAGAGGTGTTCAGTCTCCAGGTCCACGGAGATGCCATACTTAATTTATCCAGAGTCATCGTGATGTCAGCATGGTCCGACCAAGTGATCGAACCTACTGAAGTTTTCAACACCTTTGGGACCGTGTGGGGATTCACCAGAAATAAGTCTATCCTCGAATACGTATCGTGAGGTGCTGAATAAAAAGTGTAATCACGGTCGTCTGGATGATGAGCTCTCCAGATATCGACCAGGCCTGTACGATGCATAAAAGTGCGTAGTATTTTATCTTGACTACCTCTCCCGTGGGACCGCGGCAACCCGTCGCCAGGACCTCTGTCAACCGCAGGACACGGGGTGGCGTTCAGGTCCCCCCCCACCACTGTCATTCCGTGTGGCAGAGTGTTCACCATCTGCGTTATTCCGTCCCAAAAAGCAACAGAGGGGTCGTTTGGGGCATAGACATTGAGGAAATGCACTGCATGAGAGTGCAATCTCCCCGAAACCAGCACGAAACGGCCACCCGGGTCGGCTACCACGTTTTCCACCCTCAGCGGGCATCTATGGTGTATAACGATAGCAACTCCATTCCGTTTATTTAAAGCCCTAGCTTCATGGACTGTCCTGAAAGTGTGATCCTTCAGGGCGAATTTAGCCGATGCGGATAGGTGCGTCTCCTGCAAGAAGGCAATATCTGGGCTCATGCGTTTGAGATCCCTGAACATGAGGCGGCGTTTACTCGGAGCGTTCAGGCCCTTAACATTCAATGATAATACTTTTAAGGGCATAGTTTCCAAAAGGAGGGCAAGCCAATGCCTCCTAGCAGCCCACTACTGGGCCAGTAAGGAGATTGCACCACATATCTCATCTCGGTACCATGGGAGCCCGGCTCCGGACCATCCAGACAGAGTTCAGCGGCATAACTGCCCTCTCCTGTTCCCCCTCCCAAGGGAGATAGTAAAGATTTAGAACTGGACAACAAACAAGAAATAGAAAAAAAGAATAAGTTTAAGACAAAGAAGGACACACAGAACCTGTGTATCTGGTGCCTGGTCTTACCTATAGCCAGGCTTAATTGGGGCACATGTTCCAGCCCCTCCGGAATCCCCAAAAGTCTCCAGAGAAGCGGGAGCATACACCAACAGAGAAAAGCACCCATAGGGTGCCCACACAGACTAATTATGAGACACAATGAAATACAATAAGATGTCAGATAGCTGCATTACCTACATATACACAACCAAAAAATCCCCTCCCCCTAGGCAGAGATCCAAACAACTTCCCCCCCCCGCGAGGAAGGCCCCCCCAAAAAGAGAGGCGGGGGCAAAACAATATGGCATAATCTGCGCAGTTAAAGAATGAGCCCAAAATCAAAATCAAAATCACCCGCTCCCCCGAAGAACACACGCCCCACTGTTCCCTTAACCCACAATAAATAACATAAAATGTGCCCGGGAGGCAGAAAGAGCCCGAAAGTATGGAAAATATACATAAAAGAACGCCTTAGCATAAACATAGCCCCGTGACCCCAAGACCTCCCCCCCATAGCTGAACCCACAGGCTCCCGCCGAATCCCATCCCCTGTGCGTAATATCAAATGTAAATACAGTGTGGTACATAAGCTAATTGTAAAAGCAGGGTCAACCCTATCAACCACCCGCCCTACATAATAAACACACATCCCGCCACCCTCCGCCGCCCCAAAACTATACAGGGAGGAAAGGTATAACAGAAGACAAGGTTAAGCAAACATTTCAAGTCAAAATACGTCCCCCAACCACAATTCGGGCCGGAGCGGGCGTCCCGAATAACCGTGAGGGCCCTGCAATGTTAGGACGGGTGTTGCCCGAAGAGAGGTACAATCCCTGAGCCCGATCAACCTCATTAGACGATTGCAGAGGGGGAAAAAAATGAAGAACACAGGATGGGAACATTTAGGAACGAAGGGGAAAAATCCCTAACCCGCCCCATTCAGGAAGCAACCCAACCCATGAACTGGCAACCAAACCCAAGCAATCCCCATCAAGGGAGCCAAGCCAGCAAAAAATAAAAATAAAAAATAAAATTAAAGATAAAAAGGTGGGGGGGGGACATGGGGACCCATCTCAACCCACCCAAACAACACAGGCCCTCCCGTAGCACAGCACCAACCGGAGCCGTAGAGATCCGACCTGCGAGACCGGGAGCAGAATTCCTCTCCTCACTCACCCGCCTCGGACCAGACACGTGGAAGGGATCCCAGCACCTCCGCCGTCGCCATCGGAACCACGAAACCTTCAGGGGCCTGAATCCCCAGCTCCCGCAGGAACGCCGCTGGATCACCGTCGGGAAACAAGATCTTAGTGCGGCCGTCTTGAAAGGCCATCAGACGGAAAGGGTGACCCCAGGCATATTTGATCGAATGGTGTTGTAATACCTCGGTCATGGGGCGCCACTCTCGCCTTTTCTGTAGTGTGGCCGGGGTCAGATCCTGGTAGAGGGCCAGCTCCACTCCTTTATAGGTGATAGGGCTATTTCTGCCCCGTTTCATCAGGGCCTCCTTAGTTTGAAAGCAGAGGAATTTATAATTACATCTCTCGGCCGCCGATCATCTGACCGCTTAGCCCGGAGAGCCCGATGCGCCCGCTCAATATGCCAAAGCTGGTCCGGCATGTCGGGGAGAAGCGGCCTAAGGATGCCCGAAACGACCTCAATCAGAGACCCTTCCCCCTCCTGCTCAGGCAAGCCCCGAAGACGAATATTGTTTCGGCGCGATCTATTTCCGAGGTCTTCAATTGCCAGTTCAGCAGAGATCAGTCGGGTCGTCAGAGTGTTAATCTGTGCGGCAGCAGCGTTGTGGGCCACAACCGTGGACTCCACCCGCTGTTCCAATGCAGCCGTCCTCGCCCCTACAGCCTGAATCTCCGCTTTCACCTCGTCCGAGCTCCTGACTATTTCAGTAGCGAGGTAGGAGCGGACCTCCGCTAATTTGGCCAGTATCTGGCCTGTATCTGTTTCACGAGTACCTGTAGCCGCACTACTGCCTGGGCTTGATGGCGAGCGCGGCGTTCCCTGACCTTCCCGTCCGCCATCTTGGGTGCTGAGACGCACAGCGCGGGAGGCCGCGAACAGCTCCGAGACGGTGGCACCCGATTCCATCGCTTTTTTCCCCTGTTTCCTCGGGGCCCTCTTATCCATCATGGGTCTCCTGCCTCTGCAGGTATTTTTTGCAATTATATCTCGGCTGTAGTTAGCAGTTGGCACCATGGCTGCAGCAGAGCTTTACATGGACACGTCCATCTTGCTCGCCTGCAAACCACGCCCCCCCGCTTGACACTTCTTGACACAAGGCTGAGTGTAAGTGTTACTCCCTGCAGCCGTCACCAGTGATGGCTGCAGGGAATTGACTTTGTCTATGGAGGATTCCGCGGTCCCACAGGATCCTCCGCAGACCTCAATGCTGTACTCTAACTCATGGGTGATAGTATCGCAGTGACGTCGGCTCCTGGTGCTGGAACGCTATCTGTTGAAGAGGAGCAGAGCATGAGAGATGGCGGTGCCCGTGAGGGACAGGTTCAGGTTAGTAATCTCACCTTTCCATGTCCCCACCTGGCGATGTCACCGTTAGGGGTCTTGCAAATTTGGTAAAGTCCCCAGAAGGTGACAGTGCCTCTTTAAATCCAATATTTAGCCTCCATTAGCACTTCAGGACTTGCAGTTCACTCCTGCCCTTTATCTTACACATTTTGCTTTGACTAGTCACTCTGCCATGAGCAAGATGTGTGGCAGGTTGGCTGAAGCCCACCCTCATGTTGGGCAAATTTTTATTTTGAGGCATCTGTTTTAGGTGATGATTGCATTTGGTTAATCTGCTTTGCTTTTGAAGATGACAGTAAGTTTGCTGAAAATGTTACCTCATCTCCTGTTTTCAAACAGCACATGACGTTTAATGGGTCATATCATTCCTACAGTCAGAGAGGGGGGAGGAGTGAACAATTTCACTGTTAGCATTACATTAGCATTACAGAGACTGATAAAGATTGCTGTAGAAGTTTTAAATACTTTTTTTTTTTTTAAATACATGATTTAACTGTATTCACTGTGTGTGGGCATTATGCTTAAATCCAGACATTATCTTTCATTCTTTTGCCATTTCTAGTAATCTGCAATGCTAGTAATGCCTTCAGGGTCCTTACTAATACCCATCAGCCAGGTATTTTACCATTTTTATTTATCTACTGCATTTGAGAATTTTTTTTTGTTTTTTAGTTTTTACGTTATATAAATATTTCAGACCCTGTGTGAAATTTTGCAAGATAAACTGAAAAATGAAAACTAAACTAAAAAATGTAAATTGACATGATTTAAATTTGTATGTTTGTCTGTAAAGCAATCTATACATAAAATTGCAGCGTTATGATATGGTCATGTGCTGGCTATGCTTTTCTTGCTCACGGCCAGTGCAAGGTAATTCAACTACACGGGAAAAAATACATTTTGCCCCTCACCCCCTTTAAAAAAAAGAAGTGTTTGTCTTGTAAACCCCCTTTAGTATTTTTTATCCCCCCTTTACTATGTCTTACAGATTAGAATTATACTCGGAAGTGAAGAGGTTAAGGCCTTACAGAATACTAGGTTAATTCTGCTGAAAACAATGTGTTTTTCTATTTTACACAGATCCTAAAAGAGTAGCCGGTATAATGGACTGATACATGTGGCACCCAGTTGCTAAGGACTGTGGATCCCATTCTTTTACATCATACTTGAAAGTCAATCTGTCTGTTTCTGCTTTGTTGGTTTCTCTATTTTCAAAGGATTTAGTTAGTACCATGTGAGGTTTTCCTTAAAGCTATAAAAACATATTAACCCAGAGAGCTGAGTTATGGTGTCATTCTAGAGCACATGTCCTTTCATTGTCTGGATAGCAATGCCTCTTAGATTACTGCAAACACCTTAGTGGTTTGAAGTGGTAATGGTGCCTGGAGTTTGTATGCGCTGCTTTTTGCTATGAAATGCTGAACATACAGAGATTAACCCCTCTGCTGGTGTCAGTCCATCAATGGAAGCCCAGCCCCCGTCCATGTCGCCTATGTCCTCCCCTCAGACCGCCCTCCGTTATCTCCCTCTCTGGGAAAGTGACATCAATGGAGGAGGACTAGGCTGAGGGGGAACTTGACATCAGCACTAGAACTGAGGTAAGTTTTAGCTTTATTTTATTTTATAGTTTTTACCTTTGAGGGGAGCTGGACAGATTTGGAGGAATTACTCTAAACAAAATCAGTGTTTTCAGTCTGTCACTTGCATGTATCTTTATACACCTGAGCAGGCTGGAGTAAGACAAGTGTGTGCAATTTGGGTATTGCTGGAACTGTGTGACTAGATATACCAGTACTCAGTGCCATAGGATATACCAGTACTCAGTGCCACAGGATATACCAGTACTCAGTGCCATAGGATACACCAGTACTCAGTGCCATAGGACATACCAGTACTCAGTGCCACAGGATATACCAGTACTCAGTGCCATAGGATATACTAGTACTCAGTGCCACAGGATATACCAGTAGTCAGTGCCATAGGATATACCAGTACGCAGTGCCACAGGATATACCAGTACTCAGTGCCATAGGACATACCAGTACTCAGTTCCATAGGATATACCAGTACTCAGTGCCATAGTATATACTAGTACTCAGTGCCACAGGATATACCAGTACTCAGTGCCATAGGACATACCAGTACTCAGTGCCACAGGATATACCAGTACTCAGTGCCATAGGATATACTAGTACTCGGTGCCACAGGATATACCAGTACTCGGTGCCATAGGATATACCAGTACGCAGTGCCACAGGATATACCAGTACTCGGTGCCATAGGATATACCAGTACTCAGTGCCACAGGATATACCAGTACTCAGTGCCATAGGATATACCAGTACTCAGTGCCATAGGATATACCAGTACTCAGTGCCATAGGATATACCAGTACTCAGTGCCATAGTATATACTAGTACTCAGTGCCACAGGATATACCAGTACTCAGTGACATAGGACATACCAGTACTCAGTGCCACAGGATATACCAGTACTCAGTGCCATAGTATATACTAGTACTCAGTGCCACAGGATATACCAGTACTCAGTGCCATAGGATATACCAGTACTCAGTGCCATAGTATATACTAGTACTCAGTGCCACAGGATATACCAGTACTCAGTGCCATAGGATATACCAGTACTCAGTGCCACAGGATATACCAGTACTCAGCGTCATAGGATATACAAGTACTCAGTGCCACAGGATATACCAGTACTCAGTGCCATATTATATACCAGTACTCAGTGCCATAGGATATACCAGTACTCAGTGCCACAGGATATACCAGTACTCAGTGCGATAGTATATACCAGTACTCAGTGCCATAGGATATACCAGTACTCAGTACCACAGGAAGAACATCGTGGTATCACATTGAAATAAACATTAGAAAACCCATTTCTCTCTGGGCCTCATCAGTTAGACGTAGTTGGTGGCCTACGGTAACTCCCAGGCTTGAGAAGAAAACAGATGCATCGAGTTCCACCATAGCTGGAATGCAAGAAGATATCTGTTTGTATTGGAGCAAGACATGCGAAGTTTAAAAGCAGCAGGTCCGTGGGAACTGACCAGCATCCAGGATTTTCTGTAGTTTGCTTCATTATAATCTGTCCTGTGTTATGCAACACAGCCGCGTCCAAAAACCTTCCTGAACCCAGGCTGGAACTTTGTGTAAACCCTCTGCTATTAATTGAAGTACATTCTTGTTTGCTAATTATTGATAGAAAAGCTGTTTTCTTTTACTGATGAGAATCTAACTGGAGAAAAAGCCTTCATTTGGTCTAATATTTGTTGTATATTTCAATGATACTTTATCTTTCATAGGCTAAACTAAAAAATATTTGATTTGTGAAAAAATGAAAAAATAGACATCACAGATTCCAAGGAAGTAAATAAACATAACAAGCCGGTTACAAAAATGCTAATTAATAATAATATCATATACTTGCTGAATAAACATTATGATGAAGTTGCTAAAGGCTGATATGACTGGTTGACATCTAAATGTTTCTTCCAAGTTATACGTTCATCTTCTCTACTTTCTTCGAGAGTCGAAAACGAACCTACTAAAATTACGTTGAAGGAGCCTGTAAATATTTCGCATTGGAAGGGTAAAAGCTCAGTTTTTATCCTCATGTGAACTTGTCTGTATAAGGTTTTATATGTTGGCTTTTTTTTCTGCTAACTTTTGGCAAGAACGTGCATGAGTATTCTTGGCTCTAATGTAAAGCTGACGTTGCAATGCCAGGATTTGTTATTATACTTTGTATATAGCTGTAGTGCTTTTGCACTGCAAAATATGTACTATCTTAAAAACTGTTTTTAAAAAATGTATTCAAACTATATAAGAAAATACACAGAGCAAGGTGGATTGAAAGATAGCATGAGGAAGGGGATTATCTGCATCCATGACTGGTGTATTGTTGATGATAGAGGGACAATAACTGCTCTATCGGTCCTATATGTGTTCTGCTCCGAAAAACTAAAAGTAAAAGCCAAAAGATAAGTGTAAAACTATCTGAAATAGTGTACTCCAGCACACAAAACTTCTGTAAAAAATAGAGAATCCATATAGAGCGTGATACCAGTCCTTAGAGTGGACAGGCTAATTAAAGAATACAGGAAAAATCGTAAACGGAAACAAGCCAAGGTCAGGGTTACAGTGATACAGAGAAACAAGAGACCTTGCCAAGGTCAGGGCAATAGATACTTGACACGGGACATACTTGAAAACGAGAGAAATCTCAATGTATCCATCCTGGTAAAATATGTTATAAATAAATAAATAATATGCTCTGAGTCAGATGAAACAAGTCAAAGGTCAATACCGGAAGTCATAAAATAGAAACGGCACTAATTGGAAACCACAATGAAATTCACAACAGGGCAAGGGTATCAGGGCAAAACCACTATTTAAACTAATAAAATAATGAAGTTGCAGGTTGTGACACACAGAGGATAGAAATAGAAGTGAGGATCCTGGCTTTCATTAATACTGTCCAAGGGGAGAGGAAGCACAGGAGCCTCCTGATTGCCCGACAGCCCTCACAGGAACATCAGAGTGCCTAATAGGAATTATAATAAAAACCTGGTCAATGAAAATGGACAAACAGCTTCATGAATTGCTTTACCGGTAGTTTTCGCCCAGGAGGTCTCAGACAAGTTTTAGCTTAGCTTTACTGTTATTGTGGAAATCTAATACAATATCAGACTGGTTCCATGTACATGAGAATATCCAAAATGCCGGGAAGGATCCCTCTGGACAAAACATACTGATTGATTATTTTAGCCATGCGTAGGCTTTGATAGGGCTGGTGTTCCTTCAAAAGTGGAATAAAAGATGATATCTCAAGAAGGTTACACAAATATTTAGCTTGGAACAGACTGTGCTTGGTGACTATTCATGTGAGTCATAAACATCTCCACATATTCTTAGTTTTAACAAAGTATCAGTCTGGATCCATGGAACCTTATCTCAATAGATGTGACCATTATAACACTTAGGGTTATTCACTTAACTAGGAATTGTGGTCATCTGAAAAGGAGGAGAGGTCAATTTAGTGAAAATAGCCAAATGAGAAAAATGGTCAATATGACCAACTGAGTTATTCACACAACGGCTACTTTACCCTAACATTTGCAATTTAGAGATCTCTTTGATTTCCACATTTCTTATGTCCTGTTTTTAGATAATCAATTTTCTGTTTCACCTGATACTAAAGTTTAAATCAACTTGGAAAAAAGAATGAAATATTGATTTTGATTAGCATTTATGTTATTGTTCTTGTGTCATTACAGTGCATAGCGCCTCGCTGATAACCAAACGTTATCTGTCAAGGTTACTAAAGGAGAAATGCTTGTAACAAAAATAGCCGTGTCTGCAAATCCTGTTTATTTGTGAAGACATGACACACGTACATACACATACTTTCTACTGAAACATATGATCTGCTTGTGTTGTAGCAATTCTGCTGTTGTACCAACTGCTAAATCAACAGATTAATTTTAATCAATCCACAATGCGTTTGGGGATTACATTTTGATACCTCTTGAGAAACATTCTCCCAAAGAGGGAGAAGGGAGCAGGTTTGGAAGCTGCAGTCCATCTTTCTTGACTATACTCTATAGCAGGGGTAGTCAACCTTGTAATACCTACCACCCACTTTTGTATCTTTGTTAATGGTAAAATTTCCTTACCGCCCACCAGTGCCGCAGTAACTAATTATATAGCGCAAGTGCAAGTTATTTATTTTAGAATGGAATTTTTTTAAATAATATGTACTAAAATGTATCTATTTTTTTCCTTTTTAAAAATTTTCTATTCTACTTCTTTTATATGTGTGTCTGTGAGGTGATACGTGTGTGAACAGTGCTGTGTGTGTGTGTGTGTGTGTGAAGGGTGCTGTGTGTGTGAGTAATGCAGTGTGTGTGGGGTGCAGTGTGTGTCAGGGTGGCTATGTGTGCATCTGTGTGTGTGAGATGCAGTGTGTGTGAGGAGCAGTGTGTGTGTGGAGCAGTGTGTGTGTGAGAGGTGATGTGTGTGTTAGAGGTAATGTGTATGTGTGAAGGGTGGAGTGTGTGTGAGGGGTGGAGTGCGCGTGTGAGGGTGGAGTGTGTGTGAGTTGGCAGTGTGTGTGAGGGGGCAGTGTGTGTGTGTGAAGAGTACAGTGAGTGTCAGGGGGGCAAAGTGTGTGACGGGGCAGTGTGTGTGAGGGGGTAGTGCGTTTGAGGGGGCAGTGTATGTGAGGGGGGCAGTCTGTGTGTGTGTGTTACGGGCGTATTGTGTGTGAGGGGAAGGTGTGTGTAGGGTGCATAGGGTCTATGCTGTGTGTAGGTGGGTTAGAATCTATCTTAATATCTCCGCCTCTCTTCTTACCTTTTACCAGGGAGGGGAGACATAATGCTGCAAGCCCTGGTGGTCCAGTGGTGGCACATTCACTTTAGTCTGCAGCTCCTCCAGCTGCTGGCTGACTCTCCTGTACTCCTGTGAGCACAGCTCTGTATTTGTCATGGTAACGTAGGAGGAACACAGGGCCTCCCAGGCCATTCCCTCCCTCTCCTAGAAATAAGTCCAAGTGGGGCAGTGAGGGAGATCTTTGATCTCCTCACCAGCCTGAAAGGGCTAACAGCAAGGCTGGCTCTACATGGGCTGGCAGGGAAGATGAAAGGATCTCCCTTGCCTGCCTTGGCACATGGCCATCGAGGCCCACAAGGTGTTTTCTGCAGAACCCACCAACTGAAATCCCAAACCACCCACTTGTGGGACCAGGTTGACTACCCCTGCTCTATAGTATAAGGGATATATAGTCTCAAGTACATTGTGAATGAATGAATGGCCAGTGCTTCAGGTACAATAGATTTTGCTCCAGCTGTTCTGTCTTAGAGTCACATGAATGAGTCCCAGTATCACTCTTCATTACTTGATAAAATCATTTGATAACATTAACACCAATATACACTAGAAATAAACTAGTAGAAGCCGATTTTTCTTTCTATAAATTATTATACAATACATTGATATTATTGTGCAGGTGAATACATATACATAAGAGATGCCAATTTTATAAAGTCCCGTTAGTGCTCAATGAATTACTTAATATATACTGCATTATCTATACCAGAGGTCAGCAACCTAGGGCACACGTGCCATGCTTGACGTGTGAGGTGCCTTGGCACGGAATGCAGGCTACCAGACACCAGACCCAAACAGACTGGCTTGGGAGATCATCAGATGTTCCTCGTAGCTGGCTCAACAGGGGTGCTAGTGGGACCAAGAATCACCCCCCACCCCCAAACCTGCCTGATTGTGCATCAAATGTCTGCTAGTTTGGACCAAGCGAAATGTGACTGTGAAGTTGTGTGTATATAGCAGTGTGTGTCTAGCAGTATGTTTGTGTGAGAAAAGTGTGATTTAGCATGTGAGTAACATTATGTGAGGTGGTGTGTCATTGTGTGTATGCCTGGCTTTGTGAATTGGAATTAGTATATATTGGGGCAGTGTGTGTGTCTGCCAGCCTGTATTGGTGTCTGTGTGTATATCCCATCAGTGATGAATGATGCTAAAAAGCCCCCACACACAGATTTACAGGCAGCCCTCCCACAAACAACACAACTGCCAGCCCACATTGACACACACAACACAAAAAGAGCCCCTCCACCTATATACACAACAACACAAACATTGTGACATGCAGACCACACATACTACATACAACCCTCACAAGCAAGCAATACCCCATACACAGCCCACATACATAACACACAATGCCACAAACTGCTCACTCACATATACACAATAGCACAAACAGCCCACATATACGCACACATAACACAAGCAGGATAATGTAATAACCATACATAAACAGAATATATCAATATACACACATCAATTCCAAATTAAAATAGGACGGGCACGCCACAGGATTTCAGACTTGTTTTAGCACAGATAACCCTAATCTAGTTACCATTTAGTATGCAGACAATGTCACATCAGGTTTTGTGTGTGATTTATTTTATGTATATACAATATATATTATGTATTTAACACTGTGTATATGTATATAAATTACATTCTCCCTGGTGAGTGACACTGAAGGCAGCAAGCCCATACATTGTTTTTCTATGACATTTACAATATTTAATATTGCTTTATGAATGTTTGCCATGACCTATCTGCTATGCTGGAATCCAGAATGGCTGTTGGAATCTTGATGGCTTTGTCATTGAAGAATGTATCCTCCAGCATTACTTTATAATATTCACATTGGCCTGGCTGCATCAATGTTATGTATAAATGCAATGTTGCAATGAATGCTACAAAGGTAGGAGCGAGTAACAATCTCACTGGTTGATCCTACAAGCTTAGTCATGGATTTCACTTGTTTGGAAATAGTGATTTGATTACCCATTTACAACCTGGAGTTTAACATCTGAGATTAAACTGACCTTTTTTGGCTTGGACTTTCATTGTGTATGAACCAATCTGGGACTTTCATTGTGCATGGACCAATCTGGGACTTTCCTTATGCATGGACCAATCTGGTGGGACATGTTATTGTGTATGGACCAATCTGGGGCTTTCATTGTGCATGGACCAATCTGGCGGGACATGTTATTGTGTATGGACCAATCTGGGACTTTCCTTGTGCATGGACCAATCTGGTGGGACATGTTATTGTGTATGGACCAATCTGGGACTTTCCTTGTGCATGAACCAATCTGAGACTTTCCTTGTGCATGGACCAATCTGGGACTTTCATTGTGCATGGACCAATCTGGGGCTTTCATTGTGCATGGACCAATCTGAGACTTTCCTTGTGCATGGACCAATCTGAGACTTTCATTGTGCATGGACCAATCTGGTGGGACATGTTATCGTGTATGGACCAATCTGAGACTTTCCTTGTGCATGGACCAATCTGGTGGGACATGTTATTGTGCATGGACCAATCTTGGGCTTTCATTGTGCATGGACCAATCTGGGACTTTCCTTGTGCATGGACCAATCTGAGACTTTCATTGTGCATGGACCAATCTGGAACTTTTATTGTGTATGGACCAATCTGGGATTTTCATTTTGCATGGACCAATCTGGGATTTTCATTGTGCATGGATCCCATGAAATGAGTGGTGTTTTCTGTGATGCAGAGGCCTCTCTGCCACTGAGATTGATTTGAATTTTTCTACACTTTATTAAATATAAGAAATACATCTTGAAATATAAAACCAGTGAGGTCTTTGGCATAAGATGTAAATAAAAGAGACTCAAACTTGGACTGAAATCAACAATCCTGCAATAACATGCAATCAGAATATTTAGACAGTTCAGAATACATAAAATGATTGCAAACATCATTGTGACATTCAACTCAAATTCTCCTATTTAACAAATCGTCCTGCTTCTCACAGAATAAAACTATTTGGTTTCAGAACTTCACAGAACTTCACTACAACCATCAGTTAAATGTTCTATTTATTGTTATAGGAGTGGAACCAACATACCTCTGCAAGCAAACACAACTCACTGAAGTGCCATGTGAAATGTCTTAGTTTTGTGTATTTTTATGAACTATCTGCTCTTTTTTCCATTTTACTGTTCGATATGAGGCTCAGATCGAAGAAACAAGCTACAAAAAGACCAGCTGACCAGGACAGGTATTAGTGTCTTCTTTAGGAGTCCTTCTCTCAAACATTTGACCAAAATGGCTTATCTTTCCAAGACCCACTCAACTGTCCTTATAACCGTGAGGTCACGATGCCTGCCACAAAAACTGGAAACAAGTCTTTATGATGTATGATTGATCAGTACGTTAGGCCTCTCTGTATGAAGGGGTGAAAATCAATGGTAGATTAAAGACTGCCGAAGAGAGTGTTAGAATATTAGAACTTAAGATGGACGCAAAATACCGTTGAAGAATCAGTCAAGCGGCTTTAAATATCACAAATAAACAATTAAATGTTCAGCTTGTGGATGTATTCTTCTCTCTGTGTTCTTCTCTTTCTCCACCTCTCACTAAAATTCTCAATCTCTCTCTCTCCTCTTGTATATTTCCATTGCCCTTCAAACATGCAACTGTAACCCCAATTCTAAAGAAGCCCAATCTTGACCCTAACTCCCCATCCAACTATCGTTCTATCTCGCTACTGCCTTTTGCATCCAAGATCCTTGAAAAAATTGTGTATGCAAAATTGACAGACATCCTCAAGTCCAACTCTCTGCTAGACCCGCTTCAGTCTGGTTTCCGCGCTAAGCACTCTGTGGAAACGGCACTGACCAAAGTATCCAATGATCTACTCGCTGCAAAATATCGTGGTCACTACTCTATCCTAATTCTCCTTGACTTGTCTGCGGCTTTTGACACTGTTGATCATCAACAGCTTCTTCTCATCCTCTGCAATATCGGTCTACAAGATATTGCTCTCTCCTGGTGCTCCTCCTACCTCTCCCAGCGCTCTTTCAGTGTTTCTTTCTCTGGCTCTGCTTCTTCTCCCCAACTCCTCTCTGTTGGTGTCCCCCAAGGTACAGTCCTTGGTCCCTACTGTTCTCCATCTATACTGCCTCCCTTGGTAAACTCATTAGCTCCTTTGGTTTCCAATATCATTTCTATGCAGATGACACGCAAATCTACCTGTCCTCTCATGATCTCTCACCGTCCCTCTTGACTAGTGTCTCTGACTGCCTCTCTACTGTTTCTAACTGGATGGCTGCCCACTTCCTTAAACTAAACTTGACCAAAACTGAAATTCTGGTCTTTCCTCCCTCAAGTGTTGTTACTCCTGTGTCTGTCTCCCTCCAAGTCAACGGTGCTACCATCAGCTCCACCACGCAGGCTCGCTGCCTAGGTGTTCTCTTTGACTCCGACCTCTCCTTCAAGCCTCATGTTCAATCTATCGCCAAATCCTGTCATTTCCATCTCTAAAACATTTTGCGCATCCGCCCCTACTTAACGCCAGATGCGACTAAGGTGTTGGTCCATTCCACTGTCCTTTCTTGCCTTGACTACTTTAATCCACTTCTCAGTGGTCTTACGTGCTCCCAACTTGCGCCGTTACAGTCCATAATGAATGCGGCGGCGAGGCTCATCTTCCTGTCCGCCCGCACCTCCCATGCCTCACCCTTCTGTCAGTCCCTACATTGGCTTCCTAAAAATATAGAGCTCAATTTAAAATTCTGGTTCTTGCTTTCAAATCTCTACATAATGCTGCTCCCACCTATCTATCCTCCCTTATGCACAAGTATGTCCCGTCTAGGCCCTTACAATCTGCTGAAGACTTACGTCTATCTTCTGTCCGTACTCCCACCTCTGATGCTCGTCTTCAAGATTTCTCGAGGGCTGCACCGTTCCTGTGGAACTCGCTTCCCTCCTCCGTTAGATGCTCACCCAGTCTCCACTCCTTCAAAAAATCATTAAAAACCAAGTTCTTCGTAAAAGTATATCAATTAAACTGTTTTAATAGCTCCCGACTGATTCCTCTTCTACAACTGTCACTAGTCTAATACTATCCTTACCTTTTTGTGTCATTTTACCCCACTCCCTCTAGCATGTAAGCTCATTGAGCAGGACCCTCAACCCCTCTGTTCCTGTGTCCAACTTGTCTGGTTACAACTACATGTCTGTTCGTCCACCCATTGTAAAGCGCTGCGGAATTTGACGGCGCTCTATAAATATCATAATAATTATAATAATAATATTAATAAGATAAACATTGATGGAAGGATATCTATGTTCATGGATTACCAGAAATTGATATGGCCCAAAAATGTCACATTAATTTAGGAGGCTGTTGGCTACTATTTTGCCATGCATGCAGGTTAACTTAATACAATCTGACAACGTGTTCAAATTGCCAAGCTATGCCCCGGAGGTTGTTAATAGAGATTTTATGGTAAAACTTCTAGATGTCCTTGTTGTGACAATAGGTTAAACACCTAACCAGGAATAACTTACTTGTCAATTAGTGTGAAAAGTAGCGCTTCAAAAACAATATGGTAAGTAGCTGCTCTACAACACCCATGAGGGGATACCTTTTACTTCACCTTAAATGTATAGCAAGAAATTATTATAAGGAAAATACTTTATAATCGGTGGGTGAAGCGCTAATTGGTCAAGAGGCAATTATGTGCTTACCCCTTACTGAGAAGTTATGTGAGATCTAGATGAGGGGTAATATGAACAGAGAAAAAAAGAACAAAACAGATCTAGTGCAGATGGTGTTTGAAAAATAGCAAACACAAAGTAGAATAGGTAGACACACTCACAATTTTCAGAGCCTGAGGATAAGGCTCTATAACAACGCTTTTTATGGGCAGCACCCCACCTTCTTGGATAGATGGAAAATCTCAAAATAAACAAGACAAGGGATTATGGTTCAGTATCTGTAGATGTATCATTGACAATAACCACTTTTAGAAATGGACTCTCACCTTATTGAGAGCCCATATGTGCCTTGGCTCTCAGGTGTAAAAACCTGGTGTCAAATTTTGGGGTGACACTCCCCTGTCTGGAACCTGGAACAGGACTGACTACTGAATGGGGTTCCAATTCATTATTTATTCAGCATCAATATTAAAACAAAAAAAACAAAAACTATGCATACATTTAAAAACAAGTTAAAATGAACTTATCGGTATGTAGTGCAGTCCTTAAATGCCAATACACGTTTCGCTGGGTAAGCTTCTTCAGTTGGCTACGTCCTCCAATCAGTGAGCTTTATGGGCAAGATGCCCTTCCTGCAATATGATGGTTTTTCCTTGTTCCGCCGGAAGTGAAGTAAATTTTCAGTGGTTTTTGATGATGTGTATCTTCGGCTAAGTCTACTGGAAGTGATGCAACGGAATTTGCGGTGCGTCATTTCCAGTTTTGTCAGCAAGTATATCAACTGTTTTCATAGTCCCCATATGTATTTTCCGTCAGGAAAGTTGTAAATGTCCATTTTGAGAGAGGGAAAGGAAAGGGAAAAAAGAAGAGTATCAGATACTAGTTAAAAGTGCTATCTTGGGAGTCATTTATAACCGCTATGGACTCTCAGTGCCTTACCTCCAAGAAAACTACTCCCAAGCTTGCTCCAGGACCCCGCAAATCTCAGGTACCCAGAGAAAAAGATGACTCCATCTTGTTGCAGCGTGAACCTACCTTCAGCAACCGGCCTTGTCACCCTGAATGTACCCAAGTAAGCCTTGAAATTCCAGTGGACAGGGAGGAACCCATGGAGATCGAATTTACCTGAACCAGGTTGCCTCCTAAGGAAAGAGACCGTAGGAGAGTCCATGGCCTGGGTTTGTACTGTGAAGAAAAAGGGCATTTCATCTCTCTCCACCCAACTCGTCCACCTAGGCCAAAAACTCTTCTTATGGGTAACCTATGATCTCATCCTGTCATCCTGGTAACACAGCCTGGAAACTGCCAAGGTTGCTGCCAGACCTGTCCACGTTCCAGGACACAAAAGGGCACCCAGACTATGGCAATCTACGAAACCAGTACCCCTGAGAAAGTCCCTACTCCTGCTCCAGAAACATCTGTACCTCTTCCCGAAGAAACACCTGTTCAAGCAAGCACCATCATCACTTCCTGCCTTGTCAACAATGTTCTTTCACCTGACTGCACATACGCTTCTAATGGCACTGTTGTATGTAAACAGGATCTTGAGATGTTCGAGAAAGCATTGAAAGCTGCTAGAACTGCTTAAGCTCTCCTCTTTGGGTGCTCCAAAAATCTGGAAGAAGGCCAGACGTATGGCATGGATGCCTATGGGAGAACGTACCTCTTGCCAGAGCGTTCTTAAAGGTTCTGACCATGACATCCAGACATGGTCACCCCAGATGTGCCCAACAGGGGATTTGAACCTGGGTATTCTACGGTCATGGGCCTCCTGTTTCTCCTCTGAGCCACTGTTCAGCTCATGTATAAGCCTGAAGTCCGATCCTGCCTTGTCTCCTGCACTAGGGGGTTGGACTTTTCCTGTGACTGCTCCAGTCTCTCACTCCACCTGAAGCAGATGCCTAATCAGCCAGGTATAAAACACTGCCTCTCTCTGAGGACAGTGTCAGTTCATTGACGCTGGTTCCTGTGTTGGTGAGCCAGTGTTCTCCAGTCGGCTCCTGACCTTGGCTTTTTCTTATCGTGTGTCCTGACCTCAGGCATCCTCTGACTTTTGGCTTACCCGTGACGATTCTCCTTCCTGTGTCCTTGCCTGTACTCCAACTTGGAGCAATATCCTGCACAGCCCCCGTGCACAGACTCACAGGCCATGTGAATTCTTACCCGACCACCTTGGCCTGTGTTTATTTGCAAAGGTGAGCATATATCTCTGCATACTGGACTCCACATCAGGTAAGACCCTGACACAACCACTGAGCCCAATTTCATGAACAATGGTAATGCAATTTCTTTTTTTTAAAAAAGGAACTTAACAAAGGTAATGATGTTAAGAATCATAATTTCTGTAAGAGCTATTCAGGTTATAACATTTTAATTGATCATTAGGTTGCTATGCAGTCTAAATTATTTGATTACAGAACTGGATCCAAATTTAACCCCTTAAGGACACATGACATGTGTGACATGTCATGATTCCCTTTTATTCCAGAAGTTTGGTCCTTAAGGGGTTAATCTACTCCACATCTATAAGAGGAGCAAACAATGTATTTTATGAGGATAAACATAAGATTCCGTGGCATTTATTCCGTATTTATATTTGACAACCCACTAAAAATAGCTTAGGATCTTTAGGTGAGGATTTTAGGGATAATGTCAAATTTGGGTAAATATAACCACAAATCCAATCAAAAGTGTAAACATAACATCAGGTTATTTGTTTGTGATCTTGTAATAAGCAGAGAAACAGATGATTCATGGCTTGATAACAGCAGATTGTGCTGGCTTGCTGTGGGCAGGCGTACTGCACAGAGCCAAGGAAGAGAAGATTTCTGTTGGTAATTGTTCTAATCAGCTGTCTGGTGGAGAGATACTGTGTTCTTTGGCAAATCAATATATATTTCTCATTTAATTTAATACAAACAGTACTGGACTGGTACTGTCCATTGTGATATTAACCACTGGAGTACTAGGATTGGTTCGACACATTGCAAAGCCAGACGTTGAGCATGCAATGGAAGCTGAAATGGTTAAACAAAGTTCTGCTACATTTTACAGCAATCCCATCCTCCACACCCCAATAAAAAAATAAAATAAAACAAGTCTGTCTTTGATAGGTAGTTTTTCAGCATAGGAGTGATAGTTCATGGAAAACCCAGCGTCCTTGTCAGTGTGTGTAAAAAAAACATATAAATATTTATGTGAGCAAGTGTATTTAGTTATTTGTTATTTTTAGGAAAACCTTGATTCTTGAAAATGAAAGAAATCTTACTCAATTCCTCCATTGTATAATTATTGTGTTTTATTTTTAGTAACTCGCAGAATGCATCAACAGAAACTTTGAGTCATTTGTCCAATGTTAGTTTGAAAAAGCATGACGTTTGTTTGACCCTAAAGCACAAACACACGCTACGTGTGTGTGTGTGTGTGTGTGTGTGTATATATATGTATGTATGTATGTATGTATGTATGTATGTACACACATGCATACATACACTGGTGTGCTGTGTATGAGGGTGCTGTGTATGTGTGTGTTTGTGATGGGTGCTGTGTGTGTTTGTGATGGGTGTGAGAGTGCTGTTAGTGTGTGTGTGTGTGTGTGTGTAAGTAAGGGTGCTGTTGGTATGTGTATGTGTAACATCCCCCTCCCTTACCTTTTGCTGCTGCCATCCCTGGTGGTCCAGTGGAAAGTGAACTCTAGCCTGTGGGTTATATAGCAGCATCTATAGATAAAAAGTCCAACGCGTTTTGTCTGGCAAAAGGGGACTTCCTCAGGGATATTTAATCTATAGATGCTGCTATATTTATTTCAGTTTCTTTTATATTGTTATAAGTAGTGCATTCATTTATTTTATCTGCTCCATTGGATCTACCTCTACGTCGCCTGGGAGTTCCATATTATATGGAGATATGCCTGATACATTTCTTCACTTGTAAGTGAGACCAATAAAGATATGTTGTAATTTTATTACATACTTCACTATATTTGATTATTTTATTTTGCATATATTCCACGGAGGATCTGTTTCATCATACTACTACCCCTGGGAGGGTGAGAAGCCTGAGTTCATGTTTGTTTGTGAGTGCACCTATTTGCATTAAAATATCACTCACTTATTTATACTGTATTACGCTATGCTAGTTTTAAAAAAAAATAATTTTTTATACAGATTTCATTTATGATTTACGACTTACAATTCAGGTTATTTGTTAATTTTCTATATTACCAAGTATTGGGAGGTGTTTCCATTTTGTCTTTTTAATTATCTGTGTTTTAGGTGTTAGTGAAGTACACCTGGGACTTCTCCCTAATATTTGGTTTTTCATTCCCACTTCGTATAGTGTGTATACTCCATCGTCTGTTTGTATTATACATGTAGTTGCACTGGTGACTATAGTGTCCCTTTAGCATGCTTACGTTTTGTATGTCTCCTCAATGAAATATCTCCACAGACAGTATTTTTAATGGAAAGGCTGACTTTTGGAGACTTTTTTTCCCCCTCAATTTAGCTTTGGTGAACCTAAAATAAGAGCAAGTACCCTGGTGCAAATTAAACTTTAAGGAAATTGCTTTGTTGTCCAATCCCATTGTGATAAATTATGAACCCGTCTCTTTGGGTCCTGGTCGTGTGGCCAATGTGGGAATTTGCCCGGCTATCTTTTGGTTAAGACTGACCCTCTATCCTCCAGACATCAAGCATAGGGGCATAATTGCGATTACAGCTTGTCACAGCATTGGACATCTGAAAAAAAGAAGGGGTACTTGTTCGTTCCTCCACCACATCTTTTTGGGTAAAATTGCAAAAAGACAAAATGTGTGAAGAAGGGAATAGATCAACTGGTGGAGTAAAGGTAAAACAAGCTAGGGAAGTGCTAAAAAAATAACACTTTGGAAAAATGTTCTCTAGGGAGAAACACATTTTCATAAGAGTTTCCGAGAGTTCAGCAGAGTTTTAAACTGCTCCCAACTCTTTCTGTGCACAAAAGAATTGTTCGTTCTCCATAGTCACAAGAGTACCTTTCATTCCTCTCATCGAATCTCTGGCCTCTTATCCACTTATCTCACTAAATTGTCAGATTAACTCACTTAATGAACAACATCATTAGCGGTTTCAGCATACTCCTTATTAATTGCTTCTATTACCGATGCACTTGTCAGATCTTATTTTCCCTTTTTTTGATCTCCATTGCGATGGGATTTCCTTGATGTCAGGAAGTGTTTAATGCCCCTAAATGTCTCTTGCTGTACTTTTACTTTTTAGTTGTCTTCACCCGTTCGGCGAGCAATTGAAATGATGTAAGGAAAGTATTTCCATGTTAATTCAACTAGCACGTAACCTTTTGAAGCACAGCTATAATAATGTCATATCACTGCGTAACAACATTTAACTTTCCATTTGTGAGCAGAGACAGCACAGTCTATTTTACATTTAATGAGAGCTGTGTTAAATAGAAATATAAGCCAACATAGAAGGAAACAATCTGGAAATTAGTTATTAGGGATCATTTGGCACTTTAATAACTCCCGCTTCCAACAAGCATGTAGTGACACTGTGTGTCATTCCTGTGTTACTTCTGATGCCCACAGCTCTCAGTGTACTGACTGCGAGCATCATTCCATTGTCAAGACGAGGGCCGCTCCTATTGCGACTCCATTTCACCATCCCGATGACTGTGTTATTTTATGACATCACTGTCACCTCTGCACGTTATGATGTCATTATTAAAACAGGCCAATAGTATACAGCCTAGGGCTACAGTAACCACTCCTCTTTCGTGATCTCTGTTACTTGAGAGTGCTTTTTGACTTGTGGTATTTGATTTGGTTTTTGACTCGGCTCTGATATCTGACTACTTACCTTTGGAATCCCTGACCTTAATAAAAGTTATATCTAATCCTTAGCCCGTCCTTGATTAGTCTTGTCTGCTTGCAGGTCATCATTGTGATCCTAGTCTGTTTTGGATCGCAGTGATGACGTGGACCTATCTGAACATAGGTAAGCGTATTTAAGGCTTGTTTTAGCCCCCATTCATTGCCCTGTCCTGGTTTCTGTAGAGCTCCAAGTGATTCTCTTGCGATTTCCTGTGTTTGACCCCGGCTTCGTATTTGACTTGTGATTTCTGGTATCCTGATCCCGGCTTCGTATTTGACTCGTGATTTCTGGTATCCTGACCTCGGCTTCGTATTTGACTTGTGATTTCTGGTATCCTGACCTCGGCTTCGTATTTGACTTGTGATTTCTGGTATCCTGACCTCAGCTTCGTATTTGACTCGTGATTTCTGGTATCCTGACCCTGGCTTCGTATTTGACTTGTGATTTCTGGTATCCTGACCCCGGCTTTGTCTTGACTCTGAGTATTCCTGTTGTTTTTATTCTTGACCGACCATTCTAATGCTCAGTAATACGTCTTTCGGATCCACCTTTTGTGGTTTCCTTTCTGTGTATCGGGTTACGACTCCCGTGACAGCTTTTGCATGAGCAGGCTAGGAGTTCATCTGTGGTTTTGGATAAATGCGTGCATTTGACTGGTAAAGTGTATTATTTAGCTCTTTTTTGTTGTTGTTTAATAAAGTTCTTTATAGTGTGAATTTAAATGCCAGAGGAATCATAATTTAAAAAAAATGTGTGTGTGTGTGTGTGTATGTATGTATGTGTGTATATATATATATATATATATATATATATATATATATATATATATATATATATATATATATATATATATATATATATATATATATATATATATATATATATATATATATATATATATATATGTGTATATATGTGTAAAAGTGATTATTTGAATATCTGTTATTTAATTTATTTTTTTAAACAGACGTTTTATTAATTTACAGGGTTATTTTTGAAAGTAAGAACTGTTGCAAATTCAGAGTGAAGTCACAATGAATTTCAAATTGAATGCCAAAAAAGGCCTATTGGGAAATATTTTATTTGGGTCACATCAAATATCAATGACAGAAGACAATAGTACAGGTTACCAACACATTTTGAAATAAACAGAGACTGGTTTACAAAGCTTTGACGAGTTAATCAGCTTCTAAAGTCTGTATCGTATGTTTCATCACAGTGTTTATATTGTATCACAAGCACGAAATAGATGTCTTAACATTATTGGAAAACCAAAGAATGGTTTAACTTGGGTTTGATTAATGATGTCACAAAATAGCCACAGTTATCATTCTTGAATAAATTATTTAATTCTGACCCTTTTGTTAGCTAGACATATTTTAAGTATTTTAGTTCTTCAAAGTATGCACTATTTGCCGTTATCTAAATACAAATCTAATATAGTTCACAAGTTTAAGTTGAGTTACAGTTTGCTCAACCTTTTAATTGTTGCCTCTTCTTAATAATAAACATAGCCTGTATTTTCTTTAATATCATAATTCTACTAATTAACGTTCTTTTCTATTTTTCGCTACAGCTCTAACTGTACGATTTATTACAAAACGATTCATTGGGGATTATGATCCAACTCTTGGTAAGTAATACATTTTATGATAATTTATCAAATTGAATAATTTACACTGTCTCTCTAGTCATTCGGTAATAAATAAACCTCACAACAGGAGTAAAATTATACATAATCTGCATTCAGTTCCGTTTCAAGGGATCTAAAAAGAGAAACAAAGAAACATTAAAGTAGCAGATCGTGGACTATCTATTTATGTTTAATTGTAATGTAGTACAAGAGAGCACTTCTCAGACCATACCTTGGTGTAAACAACAGTGAGGCCCTTAAAGGAACACTTTAAGTAAAAAAAAAAAAAAAAGTTTAAGAAAATGCCAGTTTCAATTGAAAGCCTTATATCTTTAGATAAGCTATTAAATGATTTAATATTTTTGGATAAACTTTTGAAATGTTTTTTTTTTTTTTTTTGTTCAAAATTTTACATTTCTTACAAACGTGATAAAATGTAAATAAATAAAAAAAAATAATAAAATATATATATATTAAAAAATATGAATATTTAAAACTATATTTTTAGAAAAGTGAAATCATTGTAAAAGTTTATCCAAAAATATTAAATTATTTGAAAACTATATCTAAAAATATGAAATTGCAAACCGCCAGGGTCGCATGTTAAGAGGTCCATCGGCTGGCCCATGCTGTCAGGGCCCGGTCAGCGCTGGGCGCTTTAACAGTGCGACCAGGCCCCCTGTGATGACATCACTGCTGGGAGGAAGTGACTAACCAGTCACTCAGTCACTCCTCCCAGCATACAGAGAGCCGCGCGGGAGAAAGCAGGAAGGAGGGAGTCAGTGTGAACTCTGACTCCCATCAGGCTGAGCCACCACTGGACCCCTGGGAAATTCACAAAAGGTAGGAAACATTTTGTGTGTGTGTGTCTGTCTCACGGTCAGGGGGGAGAGGGTCAGGGTGAGGGGGAGACGAGGGAAGGGGGGCCCATGGATCAGTTTTGCACCGGGCCCCATGGATTTTGTGTACGCCACTGAAAGTGGCTGACACATTTCGATAGGAAACACACAAGTGAACCGAAGCAAGCCCTTATAACACACTTTTTAACGAGCTGACGTTTCACCCTTATGATAAAGCTTGTTGAATTGGGGTTGGTGCAGACTGCACACAGTAACTTCATATATTTCAGAATACCATGTTGCCATGCCATGTAAATTTAAAACAATGGCTTGTTCTTACTAAGCCTACATTTCTTCAAAGCCTACAGTATACCATTCACATTCACCCATTGTCCATTCAGTCTAAACTCAAGCCATGGGTTAAAATTATATATTTTTTTATTATTTAATGTTATTTTTGTCTCAGAAATGTATTTTGCACAACATATTCAGCATTTGTAGTATAATGTTACCTTTTTCAACAGTAGGTTCTAGGCTTCCATGCCAACAGCATTAATATAGGGCTACTAATCCAGAACCCATCTACCATTTGAGTGCAATGGTAGCACGTTTGTGTTCTTGCCATTCAGCTATGTAAATTATGATACACTCACTGAGTCAGACTCAATATTGACTGACCGAGGCACAGGTTTAATTTAAATACTTACTAAAACACACAAAGACAGGAAAATTAATCAAATTTAATATCTCTTAAAATCTGGGTTTGTTGTCCTTTAAAATAACAGCATGTATTACCAAGGCAACGGGTTTCTTTACCATGTCTCTGGACATTTGGTCATTGCATGCAGTCATTTTCCACTTGAATTGTGCAAGCTACTTCTTGCCAGTTTAAATTATTGTGCAATCAGTTGATTTCTCTACGAGAAGCCTCTGTAACATAGCCCCCCTTTCAAACAAATCTCATGTTATTAAAGTATTTATCCTGCATTAAATTTATCTTGGTTACCTGAATAGAGATTTTGATAAAAAAATAAATAATAATTTAGAATATTTTTTATTTTTTTTTATTTGTTTAATAAGTGAAATTTGTTTCCTTCAGGAATTTTTTTTTTTTTTAATTAAAAAAATTATTAAAATGATCTCTGCTTTTTTAAATTGTACTTTCTGCCTAAATTTCTGGCTCTTTAAATGCTTCCACATCCCAGTCACTACTAGCATTAATTGATAGCAGCAATGAAGAATGCTTCTTTTATTCAGCCATTGGGTGGTGTAATAAAATATCATACTCTAATGAATGTATCTCTCAGTGGTGTGCTAGATACAAGAGGCATAAGCTGCAATATTACCAGCGGATCTATGGCTTTATTCAATGACGTGGGGACATGAGGTGATGATTGTAGGTGGGAACAAAAACACCAAATATAAATATCAGGCAAAAAGCCACACATGACAAGGTTGTAAGGAGTCCAGCAACAACATTCAAATGCAAAAAAACGAAAACAGTGAATAGTGCTGATATCTCCTTTTATATACAGGGAGTGCAGAATTATTAGGCAAATGAGTATTTTGACCACATCATCCTCTTTATGCATGTTGTCTTACTCCAAGCTGTATAGGCTCGAAAGCCTACTACCAATTAAGCATATTAGGTGATGTGCATCTCTGTAATGAGAAGGGGTGTGGTCTAATGACATCAACACCCTATATCAGGTGTGCATAATTATTAGGCAACTTCCTTTCCTTTGGCAAAATGGGTCAAAAGAAGGACTTGACAGGCTCAGAAAAGTCAAAAATAGTGAGATATCTTGCAGAGGGATGCAGCACTCTTAAAATTGCAAAGCTTCTGAAGCGTGATCATCGAACAATCAAGCGTTTCATTCAAAATAGTCAACAGGGTCGCAAGAAGCGTGTGGAAAAACCAAGGCGCAAAATAACTGCCCATGAACTGAGAAAAGTCAAGCGTGCAGCTGCCACGATGCCACTTGCCACCAGTTTGGCCATATTTCAGAGCTGCAACATCACTGGAGTGCCCAAAAGCACAAGGTGTGCAATACTCAGAGACATGGCCAAGGTAAGAAAGGCTGAAAGACGACCACCACTGAACAAGACACACAAGCTGAAACGTCAAGACTGGGCCAAGAAATATCTCAAGACTGATTTTTCTAAGGTTTTATGGACTGATGAAATGAGAGTGAGTCTTGATGGGCCAGATGGATGGGCCCGTGGCTGGATTGGTAAAGGGCAGAGAGCTCCAGTCCGACTCAGACGCCAGCAAGGTGGAGGTGGAGTACTGGTTTGGGCTGGTATCATCAAAGATGAGCTTGTGGGGCCTTTTCGGGTTGAGGATGGAGTCAAGCTCAACTCCCAGTCCTACTGCCAGTTCCTGGAAGACACCTTCTTCAAGCAGTGGTACAGGAAGAAGTCTGATTTTCATGCAGGACAATGCTCCATCACACGCGTCCAAGTACTCCACAGCTTGGCTGGCAAGAAAGGGTATAAAAGAAGAAAATCTAATGACATGGCCTCCTTGTTCACCTGATCTGAACCCCATTGAGAACCTGTGGTCCATCATCAAATGTGAGATTTACAAGGAGGGAAAACAGTACACCTCTCTGAACAGTGTCTGGGAGGCTGTGGTTGCTGCTGCACGCAATGTTGATGGTGAACAGATCAAAACACTGACAGAATCCATGGATGGCAGGCTTTTGAGTGTCCTTGCAAAGAAAGGTGGCTATATTGGTCACTGATTTGTTTTTGTTTTGTTTTTGAATGTCAGAAATGTATATTTGTGAATGTTGAGATGTTATATTGGTTTCACTGGTAATAATAAATAATTGAAATGGGTATATATTTGTTTTTTGTTAAGTTGCCTAATAATTATGCACAGTAATAGTCACCTGCACACACAGATATCCCCCTAACATAGCTAAAACTAAAAACAAACTAAAAACTACTTCCAAAAATATTCAGCTTTGATATTAATGAGTTTTTTGGGTTCATTGAGAACATGGTTGTTGTTCAATAATAAAATTAATCCTCAAAAATACAACTTGCCTAATAATTCTGCACTCCCTGTAGTATAATAATTACATTCTTCCTTTTTCCAGCGTAGTTTGAAATAATTTTGTTAAACTTGATAAAATGTTGTAAAACACAAAGCGAATAGATTACCATATTATATTTGACATGTACTAATTAAAGATTGTTTAAATTTTATATCTTGTTACCAGTAGAGTTCTATAAACTGAAATTGACACAAAGTAATATTATATTGCACATTATTTAGCACTGATGGGTAATTTTTCATTAACGTTTATGACTTTTTCCATTGCACACTAAGCGTAGGAGGAGTGCAAACTACACTGGCCGCTATCAAGAATCACTCAACTCAAATGTGTAGAGTCCCTTACTGTGAGTTCTTAAACAAAGTCTATATGTACCTACTAATGCATGTAGCTGTAAAAAAACAACAACTTTGCAAAGGATTCTATAGCAGGTACGATAAATACGTTGTACCATACATTCTAAGATACAAGTCACACTGAGGTGGCCAACCCAACCACAGTCACCAGAACTGCTAGAAATGCAGATTACTTCAGCGGGTTTGTGGATAAGATTTGCATGAATTGGGCACCGGGAGAGCTGATGAAATTGGGTGGAAGTACAGTAAAGAGAGGTGAGAACAAAAAAGGAAGAATGATACAACTATAGATAACCAAACCAGCATTGGGATGGATGCTCTCAGGTCTTTGAGGAGCATTAATCCCATATGCACGCTCCACTGTGTTCTACATTCTAAGTTAGATGGTAAGTCTAGGATCCCGTGACTAGGCAACTTCATCATACGGGGGAAGAGCAGTGAAGCAAACTCCTGAACTCAGCTACTCACTACCCCTAAACCACGTCTAATTGTGCAGAATGGGTCTTTCCAGCTAAACATTGATATGAGACCTTTACGTAAACGTAGGAGGTCAACAATATATAAACAAAGTATTTTACTATTTACTATACTATCACATTAACAAATCATTGTTAAAGCCACTACCGAGGTGACCCGGCCGTTGCCAAGCTTCAAACCCAGATATGAACATGTATGCAAATAATAATTAATATTTAAGCAATTGCAGTATCTCATTTAATTAGCAAAAATGCTACAATTTTATAGTAACTGATTGAACCCACGGAGAAAAGCAGATGGCATGGGATATCTTAAATGACTCACACACGAAGAAGTCCCACGGTGTATGTACTGTCACTGATCCTGCTGAATAATTTACATACGCAAAACAAAAACATTATAATTTGAGCATTATAGACTGATGTTTAAATCATAAAACATAGAGCTCTGGTTAAGCTCTTTCCTGTTGGTACAAGTTAACCTTAGGCTAGTACTGGCGTATCGTGTGATGCACTCGCTTTTTACTTTTTTTGTGTCATCCCCAAATTTGTGACTGTTTAACTGAATTCAGGTCAGACGGGGATTATATTACTAATATTCAGCATTTTAATCATTTTTCCCATTCAGCTATTTTTGCAAGTAAGTTGCCATTTCTGCAGCACTTACAGTCTACTGAATAAACCCCTTAATCCACTGGTGGCAAGCCTGTGCCTGTAATCTCTGGTGCTCCAGCTGCTCTGGTAATAGTCCTCACCAAATCCCGGAGGAAGAGCCTGGTATTCCCATCATGCATTATTTAAACTGTTCTTATAATGTTTTACAGAAAGCCAGCGCTGTTTTCTTTCTTTCATTTTTAAGGAGCCTAAGAATTGATATTAAAGTTTCAGGATTCATTAATTACACTGTGTCGTGCTTTATGGAAAAATACAAAAGCTCTAAAATTAAGCCGATCATTTTAAATTAAACTACTAAGATTCATTTAACACATTTAATCACAATAACATATTTCGTTTTGAATTTTTCTATAGACTAAACCGGATTGATTAAATAGTTCAGGCAAGAAGTAATGATAGTTGTTTTTCTTGCTCATCCTTGTGCTAACTTTTTACCTAACCATTTTATCGCCTTGCACTCTATGCTCAGAGTCGCATGGGTGGCCCAGGCCCCACATTCACAAATGCAGTGAATATTGATATATATGATAATGCAAGAACTACGCAAACATTTGGTGGGATTGAGCAACAAAGCATTTGGAGGAATGCTGCCTATGACCTCAAGAACACCATCCCCACCATCAAACATGGAGGTAGAAACATTATGCTTTGCGAGTGCTTTTCTGCTAAGGGGACAAGACAACTGCAACGCATCAAAGGGACGATGGACGGGGTCATGTACCTTCAAATTTTGGGTGAAAACCTATCCAGGGCATTGAAAATGAGTCTTGGATGGATATTCCAGCATGACAATGGTCCAAAACAAACAGCCAAGGCAACAAAGGAGTGGCTCAAGAAGAAACACACTAAGGTCTTGGAGGGGCCTAGCCAGTCTCCAGACCTTAATCTCATAGAAAATCTGTGGAGGGAGCAGAAGATTCGAGTTACCAAACGTCAGCCTCGAAACCTTAATGACTTGGAGAGAATCTGCCAAGAGGAGTGGGATAAAATCCCTCTTGAGATGTGTGCAAACCTGGTGCCCAACTACAAGAAACGTCTGACCTCTGTGATTGCCAACAAGGGTTTTGCCACCAAGTACTAAGTCGAAGGGATCAAATACTTATTTCAGTCATGGACATTCAAATCAATTTATAACTTTTTTGACATGCGTTTTTCTAGAATTTTTTGTTGTTGTTATTCTGTCTCTCACTGTTAAAATATACCTACCATTAAAATTGTAGACTGATCATTTCTTTGTTAGCGGGCAAACGTTCAAAATCAACAGGGGATCATATACCTCTTTCCCTCACTGTATCTAATGTACCTTGGTAGCCTCTCAATAAATGTAATAAATTAACTTTGCACCCTCCAAATAAAGTTGTCAAATGATGGATTACAATGATAACCTAAAAATGGTCAGATAACATTTCCCTCAGGACTTGCATCCTATCATTGCCATCCAAGGTGCAATGATAGGCCAGCCTTTGGGTGTCACGACACACACTAAGCATGCTTGCTACTTAGTTCTGGGGATCACATGGTTAAAAATAAATAAAAAATTTGTCTGTGCTGCACTGGAAACAATGATAAAATAAAACCTTAATAACACCAATACTTAACTTTTAGTATCACAAGCTGCAACCACCAAGACAGTTTACAAATGGGATGGTTTAGTTCCCCAAGCAAGTGTCATGATACTGGTCCCTCCTGGCGCCGTGCGATCACAGAAATTATGTATTTTCTGAGTTCTGACACACACACTTCCTGGTGCCTTATTATGACATCATATATAATGTGGATCCCTCTCATTAGTCTCCTTTTATAGTCAGCACATGTCGCTTTTGATGTTGTGTACAGCTTGTGACATCACGGTCCTCTGTGACCAATCACTACCCAGTATTGGGTATATATACTTGTTTCCTTGTCCTGTTTTGGTTCTTGTTACCCGAGTGTGTGTTTTATACAGTGCATTGGATTTCCTGTTTTCTGACCTTGGCTTGTTTAATTATTGTAGCTCTCTGTTATCCTGATCTTGGTCTGGCTATCGATTCCGTGTATTTCTATAATCCTGATCTCTGCTTGTCTCTCGTTTATTCTCTGTCTCCTTACAGAGATTTCATATATCTGTCTCAGGCACTAACCCGGCCTCTCTAAGGACCGGTACGTGTACCTTTACTGTTACCTTTAGGTTTGTCTGTTAGGGTAACTTTAATCCTGACAGCAAGTTAGATTAACCAACCCACAAAACACAATTTAGTTAAATATTTATGTCAGCAACATACTATTAAACAGGCTTCATCGGGCTTGTGAATCCAGATATGAGAGGTCAAAGACAGAATTAGGTTATTATTATTTTAGCAATGAAAATACTAACAAATCTTACACTGTGTCAAAATTACACAAAACAAAAGAACATACAAAATAAAATGGGACTTAAACCAAACACATAACCTACACAAGTGCAAATATCCCTGAGAGCCTTACACTGGGCCAAATGGTCCGAACAAATGAAACTAGGAAAGTTAGCTGTTCTAATGTAATTAACAGAACCCATCATTGCAGATCAATAGCATCAGTCAATGCAGATCAGCGACTTATATCAGAACATTACATGCAATATACCACAATGTTGGATAAAACGATGCATCAATGACATTATGCTCTATAGCACGTGTCAAACTGTACTTGACTACAATTGTTGAATTCTAACTTCAGTGATTCTTTACCAGAGAACAGTAAGCATTTATGTCTAATAGCTCTCGTTCATCACCCCTGCTCTATAAAGTCCCATTGCATCATATGTACATGACAGATGTCATTTAAAACATTAAACAATCATGTCTAATTTTAAGAGAAAAATCCATACTCCCTAATTACTGTTTTTCCAAACATGTTGTTTAGAGACACTAAGGTTCTTTCAGGAGTAAAGCCGCTAATTCCGAATCATACCGTACATGATTTAGAAAGCCTTATGAAAGGAATTTAAATCCAAGGATTAGTGTCATTTACTTTCCAAAGTACAGCAATACAGTTTATAGATAAAGAAGCAATTCGCTGCCAGAGGCATCTAATATGTCATTTTACTCTTGGTGAAAGTGGAATATTTATACAGAGTGTTTCAAATTGCCATTTCACACAGACCGGACAATTTAGGCATCTTAACAATATACTCCTGGTGCCGAGTGTAAGGCTGCATCTCACAGAGAAACCTATGAAGCTCATCCTGTATTTTTTACATGGCAAGATAAAGACCAGTAGAATCTCCCATTCACATGTTTGAGCAGTCCTCATTTATATTTTTCATTGAATGGAACCAGTGTGTGTAGTTCTCTTCTGTTATGGTAAATTCCAATAAACTACTTCTGCAAAGAACGACTATAGTCACCAGTAAGGGCAACAGTATTGGTTGGGAGAACTCAACCATTTCCTCCTATAAAGGTGTCGATGGAAATGGGTTAGATCCTGGGTTAATTAGGGTTAACACACTGCAACAGCTCCTCGGTTGTCTGTCTCATTTAGTTAAAAATTAGGACCGGGATTGTGTCTAGTGTAGGACATGATGTACTATACACTGGGAGTTGAGGTCCCAAAGTTGGGATTGGCTGATACAGACCCAGATGGCTTTCTAATCCGACCATACCTGTTCTTATTCATCCCGCCCCCCTTGGCAGCCTCCCCATACAGTTCAGATGAGGAAGAGTTTCTCACTATCTTGTAATGTGTAGGGAAGGCCCGGGCCCGGATAACGTTAATTGAAATGATGCATATATCTATTTTATATGTACACTGACCAAAATTATAAACTCAACACTTTTGTTTTTGCCCCCATTTTTCATGAGCTGAACTCAAAGATCTAAGACTTTTTCTATGTACACAAAAGGCCTATTTCTCTCAAATATTGTTCACAAATCTGTCTAAATCTGTGTTAGTGAGCACTTCTCCTTTGTCGAGATAATCCATCCAGCTCACAGGTGTGGCATATCAAGATGCTGATTAGACAGTATGATTATTGCACAGGCTGGCCACAATAAAAGGCCACTCTGAAATGTGAAGTTTTATCACACAGCACAATGCCACAGATGTCGCAGGTTTTGAGGGAGCGTGCAATTGGCATGCTGACTGCAGAAATGTCCACCAGAGCTTCAAGAGAAATGTTTTCCCTGAATTTGTCAAAATGTAGCAAAGGGCAGATCTTCAATCAGCTTTCGCTGCCATACCTTGTATATTCCCATAACGGAACATTCATTCATATCTTAAATTCATCTATTGAGTATTGTTGTGGTTTGCATGCATGCCATTGACAGGAAGATCATTGGAGGTCCAGGTGTTTAGTCTTTTAACCTTTTAGTTCTTTATTTAAATGTAGAGCAGGTTACATCAGAAAAGCAAAATGCTAAATTCAATTGAAAAATATTGCATGTTTTGCTACAATTGTTGTTATAAAAAGAAAAGTCTGTTTGCCCACAACTAACAAAAAGCATACAAAGAAAAAAAATAAACAATGAATAATAAAAAAAGGGGGGGGATGGTAAAGAAAGAAGGTACTTTGGCCACAAGGCCTTATAACCTGGAGAATACCAGGTCTACAAAGGAAAAAAACAGGAAGATCCATTTCTGTCTACTGGAGTAGTCTTCAGTCAATATGGGCCTCAATTCAACAAACTTTGCAAATGATTACTGTTAGCAAAATGTTCTAATTCGTTAATTAAAGTCTATGGGAATGTTAATAGATTAATTACTTGGAAAGTTTTTTCTAACAGTATTGAATCATTTGGAAAGCTTATTAAAGCAAGACTATAGGCCTTAATTAAATAATTTTGGATACGTTTTTCAAATGATTTAATATTGATGAATACATTTTTTTTAATTTTTTTAAGATTTGATATTTTTCAAAATATTGTAATAATTTTATGTTTTTGAGAAATGAATATATTTTTTCACTCGGACATCGTCTGGGGAGTATGCGGAATAGACTGAAAAGTCGGAGGGGACCTCTACACATAGTTACATAGCTGAAAAGAGACTTGCGTCCATCAAGTTCAGCCTTCCTCACAAATGTTTTTGCTGTTGATCCAAACACGGTTAACTTTTGTTACTATTTTAATATTTTGGAAAATAAATCATTTTAAATGCTCATCCAAAATTATTCAATCATTTGGAAAACGTATCCAAACAAATTAAATTGAGGCCTAAATGCCAATAAGCATTATAGGATTTAGAGGTCCTAATATAAAACGTATAGCATTCCATTAGGTCTCACAGATACTATGTATATTGATTTAGCGTGGTTGGTCTGGCATGTTATTGTAATAATGGCTTTTCTCAGTACTCACATATTTTATTTGAGCAGTATAGGCTCTTGGGAGTAGTTCTTGCATTGTTTATAATCACAAACTGGCCTTGTGTAAACAGTAAATGCGTATATGAATGACCAATACAATCTATATGTTCATTCTTTGGATACTTAATGCATTTTCGATTTATTGTTCTTGACAGAAATGATTTACAGACATACGGCTGCAATAGATGGAGAATTTGTCCACTTTGAAATCCTTGATACCGCTGGACAGGTAGGACTCTGGAAATAGAGATTTATCACAAATGGCAAAGAAAAAATAGAATGTAACAAACAGTGATAGCCTGTCTCCTAACGTAAATCCTAATAAAGAATTATATTAACACGATACTTTCTGAAATAGTAATAAAATAAAAATAATGGTAATATGAATAATAATTCATAGGAAAAGCATATTAGCTAACATATTAGGAATGGTTGCAATGTTGTAAGAATTTGTCTAGTTACCATTACAGAAAACGTAAAGGGACACTATAGTCACCAGAACAACTACAGCTTATTGAATTTGTTCTGGTGAGTAGAATCATTACCTTCAGGCTTTTTGCAGTAAACACTGTGTTTTCAGAGAAAATGCAGTGTTTACATTACAGCCTAGGGATACATCCACTGGTCCCTCCTCAGATGGCTACTAGAGGTGCTTCCTGGGGCAGTGCTGCACAGTGTGACTGACATTCAGTGTCTCCACCCTCTGCATGCAGACACTGAATTTTCCTCCTAGAGATACATTCATTCAATGTATCTCTATGAGGAAATGCTGATTGGCCGGGGCTGTGGTTGACTTGTGCTGGTTCTATCCCTGATCTGCCTCCTTGACACTCTCAGCCAATCCAATGCTTTAATCAGAAAGCATTGTGATTGGCTCAGAACATAACTTCTGATAATGTCAGCCAAGCAGGCAGATCAGGGGCAGAGCCAGTAGCAGCAGACATGAACACGTGTTCCTGACCCTACAGTGTTTCTTTAAAGTAATTGTACTTCATGTTGATCATTTTCAAAATATGTTCAGAAGTTTGTGGCTTTTTTTAACCAAATAAATAATAAGTTTTCTAAATTAAATAAAAAGATTTTCTTTGGGTATAATGGGCATGCAGCATTAAAGTTCATCGAACTATTTCCTATATATATGGACTCAGATCATAAGCAAAATATGTCACAGTATATAACCAAAAGTAAACATGGAACAGATAATGCCATGGAGTGAGGTGGGTTTGCAATAAAAGGGGTAACTAAGAGTAAAAGTGCTGAAATGGTGATAGCTGCAAAGTATGAATTAACTTCCCTGTATGTTGGACATGTGATGGCACGAACAAACGTTTCATAGGGGGTAAGGTGTGTGAAAAGGAACCCAGGAAGCGTCTGGGATCTACCGTTAGAAAATTCTAGCTGTCAATGTAGTGAAACTCTATAAAGAAGCCAAAATGTGTTCATAATCAATAACATGCTTTGCTAGCCAACTGTCCAGGACCGTGGAATATCTGGCACAATGTAATATAACGTTAAACATTTCACTTTGCTGTACGCGGAGTGAGTTCTTGATGTTGTCTGCTTTTGCCATCTACTGGCAGTACTACAAATGATTTGGTTAAAGCGGTGTTCTTCAGAAGGATATTGATACCTTAGAGAGGGTTCAGAGAAGGGCTACTAAACTGGTTCATGGATTGCAGGATAAAACTTAACAGGAAAGGTTAAAGGATCTTAACATGTATAGCTTGGAGGAAAGACGAGACAGGGGGGATATGATAGAAACATTTAAATAAATAAAGGGAATCAACACAGTAAAGGAGGAGACTATATTTAAAAGAAGAAAAACTACCACAACAAGAGGACATAGTCTTAAATTAGAGGGACAAAGGTTTAAAAATAATATCAGGAAGTATTACTTTGCTGAGAGGGTAGTGGATGCATGGAATAGCCTTCCAGCTGAAGTGGTAGAGGTTAACACAGTAAAGGAGTTTAAGCATGCGTGGGATAGGCATAAGGCTATCCTAACTATAAGATAAGGCCAGGGACTAATGAAAGTATTTAGAAAATTGGGCAGACTAGATGGGCCGAATGGTTCTTATCTGCCGTCACATTCTATGTTTCTGTGTGAAATTCCAGTACTTTTACACTCTTTCTATCAAAAACGTGCATTAAGATCTTGGAACCAACCAAGATTTTTCTAAAATACACACTTTTACTTGTTTACTATTACACTTTTTTATTTTGGTTTTCTGGGCTTTAATACTAGCTTGGTGTAATAATAGTACGTATTTTTCTTCAGAGTTATATTTCTGTATTTAGTGAAGACAATGCAGGAGCTGAGCTTAACCGATGCTGAAATAAAAAGGATTAAAGGAGATCAGACAATTCCTAGAATTTTTAATATTATGTTCATTTATCTCCTATATTTAATTAACAAATATGTATTTTTATGTATTTTTGACGTGTGAAAGATATAATTAATTATAGAAATCCACTGGTCACTGGTAATCGTTGTCCTTTCCTCCTCGCAGTCACCATGGAGATGAGAGGACAACTGACACAATGTATCTATTTCTCCTCCTGATTTGCATTGTCTGCCCTGACTGTGCCTGTTGGTTAAATGTTAAAGAGAACGATTATTCCTAGCACTAAAGTCCCCTTTAGTGTCCCCTTCCCTAGCAATCTCCCTCTCCCCCTTAAGGCGCAGAAAGGGTTGAAAAAAACTTTTTGTCAGGTACCTGATTCCAGCATCGATGTCCCTCGCTGCTGGTTCAGGCTCAACCTCCACTAGAGGTGGACTTAACCCTCAAATGTAATTATTACGGTTTCTCAATAACTGCAATATTACAATTACACAGGTTAAGGGGACAGGGAAACTGCATCCAAAACCACTTCAATGAGATGAAATGGTCTTGGTGCGTATAGTGTCCATTTAATATAAATTTGAAAGAAAATAGAGCAAGCATTGCAGGGAAAAGTTAACCCCTTGTTGGTAATTCTCTGTGTTATATTCAAGGGCGTAAGTTCCAGAGAGGCGATGGCACCTTTTAAATTTTACCTGATGGTATTCTTGTATTTTTTTTATTAATTTTTTTTTTATACATTCAGAATGTTTTGTTCTTTTTTGCATTGGTTATTTCATAGTTTTCCTATTATCTTAAAGAATAAGTTTCCAAGGGCAGAAGATTTCTGGAAAATACTAAATACCTCTCATTGAGATGAGCACATTTAGAGCGATTTTTATTTTCTGAATCAAGCCTTGAATTATGTTTGGGAAATACCCAAATTAAACTTCTGGACATATTTGAGGATTTTCACCAAATTTTGAAATTCCAAGGTCAATTGGGTGCTGAGTGCACAACACGGACAGAGTTTGAAGTAATGTGATTAATATAATGTGACTGCATTCAAGAAACGTTATTTCAGTATAAGTCCAAGACAACCAAACATCATACTAGGTGTATAGTCATTTTGTAGTAAAGCTTACTCACTAAACACAGGATTGTAGTCTATTAAAAGTTGAAATGCTACATTTAGCCCCAAAATAGCTGATTTGGAAATATTTTACAACTCCCCAAAATATTGCGTTTTATTTTTGAATTCTCTACAATTCTATGTTTAGAGAAAACATCCCACTTGGCTTAATGGCTAATTAACAAATGACTGGATTAATACTAAATTGGAAACATGAGTACAAAAAGAGAATGTTTTCGTAAAATAATTTATCTTTGTTTTGGTTTTACCCAAAGGAGGAAGATTCTTTACAGATCGAAGAGAAAATCAAGTGGGGTGATGGTTTCGCTGTTGTTTATTCGGTGACCGATCGCTGTAGTTTTGACGAAGTGATGAGACTGTGTTTTCTTATTAACCATATTCACTCCAATGCAAAAAAAGGGACCAGTGACCTTCCTCCTGTTGTGATAGTGGCAAACAAGAAGGATCTCCAGTACGATCGCATGGTTTCCATTGAAGAAGGAGAAAAGCTGTCACAGGCATTGAAGTATCCATGTTACGAAATTTCCACGAGAGACAGCTATGATGAGACGGCTGTAGTTTTTAATACTATTTACTACGAGCTGATGAAACAAGGAAACCTTTCGCCGGGATCCTTCAAGAAAAGGGGTGTTTCAAAATTAATGGAAAAAATTCCCAAACTGTACGCTAACTCTGCACTAAACACAAGTGGCAGGAGTCTAAGTTTCAATTCGTTTCGAGATTACATTCCGGAATGAATTGTGGGTGTAAACTGATCCTGATACTTCTAATTCTGCAGTATGAACAGTATTAACTGGAGTAGATAACGCTAAGAATGTATTTTCTGGATTTTTCTTACAATTTACTACTAACTCTAATCTGGGCCAGTTTACATTCGTACACACCAGACATCATCAGCAAATGAATACTATGCCATAGCTGATATAGCAGAAAGTGGTTGTGGAATGAAAAAATGGTCCAAACATGGGAAGGGGACAAGTAGGAATAAGTAGCAAAAAAAGCAGGATTAAGGACTAAGGTCAACCTTACTGATACATAAGCCACTTCACTTACCTCTAAACATGGCCTACAGTAGATTACGGACTATATTTATTCAGATAAAGCAGAATAATTAATTTATTAACAGACATAAATATTACAAATATATACAAAATCACAATAAAAGATAAATTAAGACTGAAATATCTTAATACCCAATTTGCATATATAACTATTCTCGGACACATACTCGATACTTTAAATATTCAACAATGAGCAAGACAATGGTAGGTTCCAATTAAATACCCCAAAAACAGCAACATGTTAGTGAGGCTTTAATGAAATCAAACTGTGTGTTAAATGTAGAGAAAAACCATCACCACCAGCCAACTGTCCATCAGCAAAAAACTACTGACCACCATCACTGGGAGGTGTAGCCTATGTCACTGTCATAGACAAGAAGATAAGGTCTGTGTAATTAACCCCATAAACACACAACTCCCTAAAGTTCTTAAAGCAATTCTAAACCTATACTGCATATTTGCACAACAAACACCTTTTAATAAATTCTTCTTCACCAACATTCAAATACCATTTGAAAACAACACAAATATATAATGTATCCATATAAAGAGTCAAACGTGGTAATATTTCAGATTATCAAGAGAATGTTTAAATTTACAATGTGAAACTTTAAGCAGCATTTTCACCTATTGCATTAAAATAATTAGTGCATGATTTAATTTTTTGGGCCATTTTTATTATTATATTTATAATATTATAATATTATTATTGTTCTATAGAGAATATGTCTGTGAAAACGCCTATTAATACATTTTCATATCATTTTTGCATTACATGATGTTGTATCCCACAAGGGCATTCTAACATGTCTTGAATACTTCCTTTATCTCACACGATTATTCCCTAATGTGAGAATTTAAAGTTAATTAAAACCACACAAAAACAAAAGTTTTAGACTTTAGAAAAACAGACTTTTCTAAAATTAGAATATGGGTAGAGGAGTCATTATCAGACTGGAGCAATTTAAATGGAGTCCAAGAGAAATGGGATTATTTAAAAGTTGCACTATTGAAGGCAACAGAAAATTGCATTAGGCTTGTCAGTAAAAGCAAAAATTCAAGAAACCACTGTGGTACTCCGCAGATGTGGCCAAAATAGTTAAAAACAAAAAGTTAGCATTTAGGAATTATAAAAAAACCCAGAGTGAGGGAGACAAAATGATCTATAAGATTAGGCAGAAAGAGGCTAAGCAAGTTATAAGCACTGGCGTACATACCAGGGTCGCAGGGGTCGCGACTGCGACCGGGCCCGGCCCACCAGGGGGCCCGGCCGCCCCTGCGACCCGGTATGTACGCCCAGGGCCAGCCTCTTCCCCTGGGGGGCCCAGGAGCCGACCACCCCAGGGCCCCCCTGAGGCTGGCCCTGCTGACCCCGGGTGGCCGGTCAGGCAGGCAGGCGGGCGCGCGAGGGAGCACTCAGTGCTTCCTCTTCAGCTCCCTCGCGCACCGCAATGATACCGGAGCCAGAAGATGACGTCATCTTCCGGCGCCGGCATCCCTACGCGGCGCGCGAGGGAGCTGAAGAGGAAGCACTGAGTGCTCCCTCGCGCGCCCGCCTGCCTGCCCGACCGGCCGCCCGCCCAGGAGCCCCACTGGACCCAGGAATAATCCCCCCCAGCACTCCAAGAGGTAAGGAGGCTGGGGGGATTATATTAAAAAAAAAAAAAATCATGTGTTAGTGTGAGTGTGAGTGTTAGTGTGAGTGTTAGAGTGAGTGTTAGTGTGTGTGAGTGTTAGAGTGAGTGTGAGTGTTAGTGTGAGTGTTAGAGTGAGTGTTAGTGTGTGTGATTGTTAGAGTGAGTGTGAGTGTTAGTGTGTGTGTTAGTGTGTGTGAGTGTTAGTGTGTGTGAGTGTTAGTGTGTGTGACTGTTAGAGTGAGTGTTAGAGTGAGTGTTAGTGTGTGTGAGTGTTAGTGTGTGTGACTGTTAGAGTGAGTGTTAGAGTGAGTGTTAGTGTGTGTGAGTGTTAGTGTGTGTGAGTGTTAGTGTGAGTGAGTGTTAGAGTGAGTGTTAGTGTGTGTCTGCTAGTGAGTGTTAGTGTGTTAGTGTGTGTGTCTGCTAGTGAGTGTCAGTGAGTGTGTTACTGTGTGTGTCTTACTGAGTGTGTGTGTGTGTTAGTGAGTCTGTTTGATGTCTGTTAGTGAGTGTGTGTTTGTCAATGAGAGTGTATGTTTTGTAAGTGTGTATGTATGTCTGTCGCTGACTGTATCTCTGTCAGTAAATGTGTGTGTCTGTTAGCTAGTGTGTATGCGTCTGTAAGTGAGAGTGTGTGTGTCTTCAGCACTTACCTTTCTCCAGCGCCGGACTCCCTTGGCGCTGAGGATCCCTCAGCCTCTCAGCTCCGAATGCGACCCCGCACGCATTCAAACCGCCCATAGGAAAGCATTACTCAATGCTTTCCTATGGACGTTCAGTGTGCTCCTCTAGCGGCTGTCCGTGAGACAGCCACTAGAGGCTGGATTAACCCTCAGTGAAACATAGCAGTTTCTCTGAAACCGCTATGTTTTCAGCT